AATGTAAACCACTCCATAAATGTTTTTCCTTATAAGAATTGCCATGGTCATGGTGTCTACTCACAACAATAGAAACCCTAACAAAGACAAATTGTACAAATCCTGGTTCAAGTACACAGAAGTCCCTTGTATTCTACTCCTATTCAGTTAGCATCCTGGCAGGTATGACACTATGCTAAGGACCTCAGCATTCACATGGATTCCAAAAGGCATCAAGTGTGACATCCTTAAGGTCCCCTGTTGGGGAATATTATTTTCAGGTGTGTAACTTTTGCTTATCTGCATTTGTTTAATTCTGTGAATCTGTGTTACTACTGTGCTTGTCTAAACCACCTGATGGTCCTAATAAATTGATGAACAGCCAATAGCAAGGCGGGAGCAAGGATGGGGGCGTAGCAAACAGAGAGTATAAATAGAAGGAGAAATGAGAGAGAGAGAGAGAGAGAGAGAGAGAGAGAGAGAGAGAAAACAAGACGAGAAGGACATCAGGGGCCAGCCACCAGCCAGTCATGGAATAAGAAGGAAAGAAAAGTATACAGAAATAGAAAAAGATAAAAGCCCAGAGACAAAAGGTAGTCAGGATAATTAGAAAAGCTGGCAAGAAACAAGCCAAGCTAAGGCGAGGCATTCAGAAGTAATAATAAGCCTCTGTGTGTGTGTGTGATTTACTTGGGAGCTGGGTGGCTGGCCCCTCAAAAAGCCAAAACAGTAAAACATCATACAACTCAAGATGGCCCAACCAGGCCAGGCCAGGCCAGAACTGATTTACTACTAGGGTGAGTAAACCACCTTGAGTCAGGGCCATGTGAGGGCCACCTAGAGTCACTGAGAGCTCAGAACATAGACAGAGCTTCAAGTATCTGGGAAAGCTAACAGAACTTGATGTCCCAGTGATACACATTACTGGTATTACTAGTGTAGGCTACAGTGCCCTGAAGCCCAGGTAGGATGACCCCTGGAGCTTGGGACCAGAGGTTCTGGGAGTATAGAGGACAAACCCAAAATGGCATAGGAATGGGAAGCCAGGGGACAGCATCCAGTGGTGTAGATATGTGTTACAGAACAAGTAGACTGGCATGCCAGGGCACAGAATTACAGCCTAGGCTGAACCAGATGTTCAGAGCTGTTGTTTCCATCTGGGGGTCCTGACTGGGTTTGTTTTCTCCACCCATTAAAGAGTTAAAAGGCAAGAAAATCTCAGACACAGCAAGGTAAGAGGTTACATGCTTTATCACTGGTGAAGAACTACACACACAGCAAAGTACAGAGAGAGAGAGGGAGAGAGAGGGGGGGGGGCTTGGCAACCAAAGTCCATTTCCCCCTGGAGGGATGGAAGGGCCCCTCTTCCTCTCATCTCTGACTTCAACTTAGAAGTAAGGGGCTTGGATCGGCCCACAGTATCAGATAACCCTGTTCAGGACTGGTCTTGAACATGGTTAAGATATTCAAGTGGCCTGGACACGTAAGCCAGAAAGGAGGCCCATTGGCAGGAGAAAAAGCCGGCGAGGCCTTTGTCTCCAGTCAGGACGGTAAAGAAGGTGGAAGTTTGTCATCTTTATCATTTATCTGTAGCCCCTATCCCTGCCAAGCTGTCTGTGAAAGACCCCCGGAGTGGAGAGACTCTCACTCAAGTCTCAGGATAGCAACCCCCCCCCCCCACCAGGAACTCACAAGAGACCGTCCTTGCTGCAATCACACAAGGTTTATTAACAGGAGCCAGTGTGCTGGGGCCGAAACTCATTTCCCAGGCAGGGGAAGAGGAGTTCGACCCCGAGTAGCTGGGAGAGGGGGTATTTAGGGAAAAAAACCACAATCTAAAAGGGGTAAGGAGGGTGTCATTGGAAAATTCCAAAAATACCAGTGATCATTGAAAAATTCCGAAAATAATCACAAGGGGGTAACTCCCCATTTCTCAAGATTATTCTCAAGATTATAATCTAACTTTATGGTCAGCTAGTTCCTGGAACAGTCATTGAACCGGCTAATCTAGATTTTTGGTTCTTCTCTCTTAGATATTTGGCTTATTTTTCCTGCTAGATTTTTGGCTCTATTCTTTCTGCTGGAGGGGTCTGGATTTATCCGGGTCTTTCATCTGGTTCCTACTCCCTCGCTGTAAACAACCCACCCTTGAGCTTGGGAAACTAGGATTCTTGTTTTCCGTCTCTGTAGGTTCAGTCAAGACAGAAGCAGGGTTGCTATGGAGACCGGGATTCGTTAAAAATCTTAGGATTCTACACTTGATCTTAGCCAAAAGGCCGAGGAGCAGAAGGAGGGAGAACATGAGCAAAGAAGTCGGGACCACGAGGGGTGCACCCACCCATTGAGACAGTGGAGCTGATCTACTGGGAGCTCACCAAGGCCAGCTGGACTGTGACTGAAAAAGCATGGGTTAAAACTGGACTCTCTGAACATGGCGAACAATGAGGGCTGATGAGAAGCCAAGGACAATGGCACGGGGTTTTGATCCTACGCAATGTGCTGGCTTTGTGGGAGCCTAGCCAGTTTGGATGTTCACCTTCCTAGATATGGACAGAGGTGGGAGGACCTAGGACTTACCACAGGGCAGGGAACCCTGACTGCTCTTTGGACTGGAGAGGGAGGAGGAGAGGAGTGGGAGGAGGGGGAGAAGGGTGGGAGGAGGGGGAGAAGGGTGGGAGGAGGGGGAGATGGGTGGGAGGAGGGGGAGGGAAATGGGAGGCTGGGAGGAGGTGGAAACTTGTTTTTTTTTTCTTCCTTTACACAATTAAAAAATAAATAAATAAATAAATAAATAAATAAAAATCTTAGGATTCAAGACATCAGGATGTATGAGAACTCATGAGGAGTTGGAGTCTGAATCCCAGGGCTGGAAGCCCATGCTTACAACAGGCCAGTTAAAATGAGACCAGAAATTCAAGGCCAGTTAGAGCTAGAGTCAGACCCTTTCACAGAATAAAAAGGTGCTGCTGTTGTTGTTGTTAAGACAGGGGTGTAGCTCAGTGCCTAGCACTTTCCCCAGCAAGCACAGATCCCTAGGTTCCATCCTTAGGACCATCCACACAACACGAATACTCAGAAGTGGATCACTAGGGTCACCTAGAGAGGAAATAGGAAATGGTGACTCAATCGTGTTTTAGTGTCGCCAGGGCTTGAAGGAAATGATAAGAGAGAGTTGGTGAGAGAACCAGATAAGGTGGGCCAAGGTGGACTGGTGGACTGGTGGCTACAGAGACAAAGGGGAGTGCGGGACCCAGCCATGACAAGCTCTAAGAGGCCTGCGTCTTAGTAGTTTACCCTGGTTCCAAGAAAGACCGCAAACTGAGACTACCCAGGCACCACCCAGGAACAGACCATCCAGAGGAAATTCCTAATGTTCCACCCATTGTAGATAGGACCACCTGCCAGCACACACCCATCTCTTTTCACCAGGACACCTAATTGGCTGACAAGTGTCAGCCAATCAGGGCTACTGAACCTTAAAAATCCATCACCCCCACCTTTGTTACTATAAAAACCCAACCCCAACTGAGCTCAGATCACTCCAATACATTGGACACATGGAGAGACCGAGTTTGCAAACTTGTGTAAGAATAAAGGCTTTTCCATATGGGACTCAGGTCTCCTATTTGGTTTTGGGGGGACTTCAGTTGTTTTTTGGGTAAACAAGCTCCACATACTAATGTCCTATATGTTTCTCTGAAGGAAAGCATCATGCCCTGCTATATTAGTCTTTTATTGTGTACCATTTGCAGTACCCAGTAATCCAAGAGCTTCAGGTGGGCCAGTAGCTTCATCTTGCCACCAAAGGCATGCAAAGACTGTTAAGCTGCTTCAGCAAAGCAACTCCAGAAACCACAGAAGACAAGCACGAATTTCCACCAAGATTTCTTCAAGGCTAAAGACTTCCAGAGAACAACTGTTCTGCTGTAATGTTCACCCTTGATACAGTGCATCCCACAGGTGCCTGGCCCTCGGACTTCTAATGTGGGTACCCAGATCTCAATAATGGTTAAATTTTCTTTTCCTCACTAATTTGAGAACTATCACAATAAAAAGGTAAATCATGTGGATAAAGGTTATATATGTCTGTCACTTGTAGTGGCCCAGAAATGTTAATTTAGTGCTAAAGTTCATTTTATTAGGTTGGTAAAATAATGCCTGCAACATCAAGGATAACTTGATACACAATAAATGCTCAACAGTAGCCAGTCTCTTATATTTTATACATTAATTCTTTTATTACCAGGTTGTGAATAATCACCTTTTGTGTTTATCTTATCTACAGATATTTGTAAGGAAAGAACTTTAAAGTATTTTATTAGCAAATGTTAATATATTATACATAATAGTAATGGGTTTTCATACATGGCCTCTCTCTCACTCTCTCTCACACACACATACACACACGCGCGTGCGCACGCATGCACGCACACACACACACACACACACAAATAAAAATAATGTTCCCCACAGAATGCTCACAGGCCAACCTATTCTAGATAGTTCCTCATTAAGACTCTAAACTCAAGGGCTGGAGAGATGGCTCAGCGGTTAAGAGCAATGCCTGCTCTTCCAAAGGTCCTGAGTTCAATTCCTGGCAACCACATAGTGGCTCACAACCATTTGTAATGAGGTCTGGTGCCCTCTTCTGGCCTGCAGACACACACACAGACAGAATATTGTATAAATAATAAATAAATAAATAAGTAAATATTAAAAAAAAAAAGACTCTAAACTCAAGACGGCCGGTGGTGGCGCATGCCTTTAATCTCAGCACTTGGGAGGCAGAGGCAAGTAGATCTCCGTGAGTTTGAGGCCAGCCTGGTCTACAAAATGAGTTCCAGTACAGCCTGGGTTGTTCTAAAGAAATCCTGTCCCGAAAAATTAAAAAGACTCCCTACTCAGGAGATTCTAGATGGTTTCATTAACCATTAAAAATAACCAGCATATACACTAAAATATTTAAAATTGAATTTCATATATATAATTATATATATGAAAATCAGATGAGCTTTAAGACATACTTGTTTTTTCTTTATATTATAAATAGTATATATGGAACATTTTCATACAGAAGACTATACATATTTGTAAGGGATATACAGATCACTGTCAGTCTCATCCACTGCCTCTTCAAATACACATCCCATCACCACAGTGTGCTGAATACTGCTCTATTAACAACAATCCCCACAACACTCAGTGAGACGAAGATTAGGCTAGAGATGAGAATATGGATGAGGTACTGTCAACACCACCAAGACATACAAAGAAATTACACCACACAGTGTTTCTTAAATAAATGATTCTTTTGACCATTTACAATTATTTATTTATGTAGGCAGTCATAAAATATTTTTATAATATACATAAGAAAAGACATTTAGATGAGTAACAAATATAATAGCAGGTGACAGAATTTAGTGTTTATAAACGAAACCATCAATCACAGTTGGAGAAGACAAACAAACTGTACTGAAAACCGGAGCCATGCACTTCAGCATTTCTAAACTGCAAGAAGGTATTGGGCTTTTAAAGGGAACATGGCTTACTGTTTGTCAATGATCTCAAAACACTTCTAGAAACTGTCATAGATGGATATGAAAGGAAAGAAAAAGACAAGAACTTTGGCAAGCAAAGTAGTAGTTCACAGCAGCTTGGTAAAAGTTTAAATATTTTTATGTAAATGTTCTTTAATTTATATTTGTTCTTATAAGAGAAAAATTAATATGTTAATATGAAGAATCTCTAAGCTATATGAAAAAGTAACTTTAATAAAGCCTGAACACTATGGAAATGTGCACCACGCTGCATAGATAGAAATGGAGTGAATGCAAGCAATGTGATTCTTAATGCTTTTATATAAAATATTTAGCCCCAAATATCAGATAGTGTCACCTATGTCCACAACTCTCCAGAAAGCAGCCCAAGGTCACATTAAACTAATAAGCTTCTGTTGTTTTCTCTCATTTCCATCATTAAACATGTTTCTGCAAAACCCTCTGAGAGTGCGTTCAGTACTCTACACACCATATCACAAGCCATGAATGATCACCCCCCCTTTAAAAAAAAATCACTGAGCCTGGAGAATCATCAAACCAGAGGTTTCTGTTTGTGACCTACAGGAGACCTGACACCTCAAAACCTGCAGCTCCAAAAGACAACTCAGAACTTAACGATTTTTTTTCTTTTTTGCCACAAATAACTGGCTAATTAGGTGTCTAGAAAATGAGACTCTTAAGATTTAGCAAATCAATTACCATGAATTGACTCTCAAACACTGATGAATGCAAGAGAAACTAGGTGAAGTTTTACATAAAAGGAAATAAATACTGCATAATATGTAATGAATATTTGCACAGACCCTTTATATCTAAAGCATAAAATACAACTTGCAAATGATGCTCCTAACTATATGTCTTCTTAAGACACGTTTTGACACAGCTAGCGAAGCCTCTCCATGATACGAAAGTTCCCACAGTTTAAGGCTTTCCAACGGGCTTGTAGCAAGCGTCAGGCTGCCAGAGGCGAATATCGACAATCACCTGATTGAGTTTCTGCATCCAGAGATCCCGCTCCTCTTTAGTGTCTGCAGAGAGCCAGTTCCTGCAAGGGCAAGCAGAGGTCAGCCTCCTTCCCACCATTCCATGCCTCCACACACCCGTTCTAGAAAAACATAAATCCCTAAATGAACCAAGACTAGCTGCCTACCTTCCATCTGATGCTAACCTAGAGCCACACAGGGAAGAGCACAACAGAGTACTGTCATGACTCACACTAATTCCTTAGTGTTTCCTTGTTTTTTTTTTTGAGATGGGATCTCAGGTCTCACTGAGTGATTTCCACACAAGCCCCTCTGTATATCCAGCAATGGCTTGATGACTAGATTGTGTCACATTCTCATCTCCACCTCGAGTCACAACTGCTCACTCAAGATCGTCTTCGAGTTTTTCTTGGGCATTTGTGCTGGGCAGTCTTTTTGCTGACTTGATACAACTAGGGTCATCCGGGAAAAGGGAACCCTTTGTGAACATGCCTCCATCAGATGGCCTGTAGGAAAATCTCTGTGGGGCATTTTCTTGATTACAGATTGATGTGGGAGGGCCCAGCCCATGGTGGATGGTCCCACATTGAGCAGGTGGTGCTGGGTTCTAAAGAAAGCAGGCTGAGCAAGCCACAAGGAGCAAGCCAGTAAGCAGCATTTCCCCATAGCTTCTGTTTCAGGTCCTGTCCCTAGGCTCCTACTTGAGTTCCTGCACTGACTTCCCTCAGTGGTGGACTGTGTTGTGGAAGTGAAAGCCAAATAAACCCTTTCCTCAAGTTGCTTTTTGCCATGGTGTTATTTAACCTCCAACCAGAAACCTGCAGACTAAAATCGATTTTTTTTTTCTTTTTTTGGTTTTTCGAGACAGGGTTTCTCTGTAGCTTTGGAGCCTGTCCTGGAACTAGCTCTTGTAGACCAGGCTGGTCTCGAACTCACAGAGATCCGCCTGCCTCTGCCTCCCGAGTGCTGGGATTAAAGGCATGCGCCACCACCACCCGGCCTAAAATCGATTTTTAAAGTAATCTAATTATGCCGGGCAGTGGTGGCGCACGCCTTTAATCCCAGCACTCGGGAGGCAGAGGCAGGCGGATCTCTGTGAGTTCGAGACCAGCCTGGTCTACAAGAGCTAGTTCCGGGACAGGCTCCAAAACCACAGAGAAACCCTGTCTCGAAAAACCACAAAAAAAAAAAAAAAAAAAAAAAAAAAAAAAAAAAAAAAGTAATCTAATTAAGTGAGAATACTTTTTTTTTTCTTCTTCAAGACAAGAGTTTCTCTGTGTAACAGCCCTGGCTGTACTGGAGCTCACTTTGTAGATCAGGTTGGCCTTGAACTCAGAGATCTGCCTGCTTGTGCTGGGATTACTGGCGTGTGCTACCACTGCCCAGTTATGAGGGTATTTCCTAATGAAGAGAAATATGCTTGACTTCTCAACTATACATGAAATTTTTAAGCTTAACTCAAAGATTACCAGCTAACTGCCTAGAGAACAGCCATGACCAACTGAGATTCAGTCTTTAACTTTTCTTAATTAAATTTAGTCAGTTATTACAGGTTTTTCTTTTACTGTTATGTATGAGTTATAATATAGGTTATAATATATATGTGTTATATATATATATTATAGGCTGCTCTCTTATTATTATATATGTGTATGTATTTATATGTATCTCACCAGAATGTTACCCTTTTCAAAGTTGAGGACCATCAATTGTATTTTCCACACACCCTAAGAACGAAGCTGGCAATTACTTAGTTGACAGAAACAAGCATGGGAGCAGTACATACTTGGTGACACAGAGTGTGTCCCTGCACTGGCTGACAAGAGTCTCTCGGTCATCTTCTCTTTGTGGTCGGACAGTAATTAATTCCATAGTGTTGCGTCTTGCACAGAATTCTCTGTTGGCTGGTTCTACCTGATGACTGATACAATTGGCCAGATTTATCCTTCCTACGGGATTCTTTAAAAACAAAATATAAAAAGTATTAGTAGAGAACAAGCAAGGTTACTTAATGCAGTAAGCATTAAGTAGTGCTTAAGTTAGCATAAAGTCAAAAAGCTGTTATTTAAAATGTAATATTTAACAACCAGAAAACAAGCAAGCATGAAGCAGCCAAGCCTAAGAAATGGCTTAGCAGCCTGGGACTCCACTTGGCTTAGGTCATACACACATCTCTCTCTGGTCAATGAACTTAGCAACCTATTGGCAGCTAGGACCTCTCACCTACGTCAGGCTGCACACACCTCTGGTTTAAACAATGAGATTAAGTTCTTCCTTATCAAACACTTGATAACAGCCAGTTTCTATTCAAATACAAAGGAACACAATTCAGGAACTATACAGGCAATGGACTGCTCCGGCTCACTTGGGTTTGGGTACATGCTCAATAATATAAATCTATGTTCCCACGTAAACTTTTGGGAAACCCCCCAATTACCATCGAATGACAATATATGCATATATACATGTGCACACGTCTGAATATGCATTCTCACAATACACGATGCACATCCAAAAACAATGTAAAGCATTAAAATATTATCTAGAAAAACTCATTTTAGATAACTGAAAGTGCCTCAAATTTTTTAAAAGTAGGATCACATATGATCCATTATAGTCCCATTATAGCAGTGGTTTTCAACTTGTGAGTCTCAACCCTTTAGCGGGTTGAATGACCCTTTCCCAGGGGTTGCCAAAGACCATCATACATATTAGATATTTACATAACAGTTTATAACAGTAGCAAAAGCACAGTTATGAAGTAGCAATGAAGTAATTTCTGGCTGGGGGGTGGACAACCACACAAGAGAATAGTATTAGGGGTCACAGCACTAGAAAGATTGAGAAGCACTGCTCCAGAAGAACTGGTGGGACTGCTCTGGAAATAACATTAGTGTGTCAAAGACAGCCTACGGCAGGATTACTCATATTAGTTATGATATGGGAGAAACCTAAGGGTCCATCAAAATAAGAATTATTTAAAAACTATGGCATATATACACAATAGGTTATTGCTCTGTCTTAGAAGAAAGCAGAGAACTTTGTAGTTTGTGAAAGATGAACAAGAATGGAGCTACAAGATATTATATTGTGGTAGCTGAAATAAAATAGGCACAAGAACCAGCCACACCATTCCTTTGCATATGCCCACAGGACTCAGCATCCTCCCCACAGACAGTTGTTCAGCCATGTTCACTGCTGCTTAATTCACAACAATTAGAACATGAAGATAACACACATGTCCTTCACCTGATGAAAGGATAACGAGAATGTGGTACACACATGCAATGGAATACTATTCAGCTGTAAAGAAAATGAAATAATGAGATTTGCAGACTAATGGATGGATTCAGAAAATATATTGAGTGAAGTAATCTAGACCCAGAAAGACAAATACTATGTTCTCTCTCTTTTGTGGCTCCCAGCGCCAAGTCCAGGTGTGACTATATGACCTGAAGTAATACAGAAGCCAAGAAAGTAAAAGGGGACAGATCATGGAGTGGGGAAAGATCCAGAGAGGGGAATAGCAGGATGCAAGTCATATGAAAGGGGAAGGGAAAAAAATGATGGGGAGGCTTAGTTAAGGGTGGGGAAGAATACTTGAAATAACTGTAGAGAATATGGTATTTACCTAAAATTGCATGTAGTAAATATAAGTGTACATGCACACACAGACAGACAGAAAGACAGGCAGACAGTTTCAATGAAGTTATGCCACTTGGGATGATAAAAGCCAGAGACTATTGAAGAAAAGCCCCAGGACCAGCAGCTCCAGAGGAATCCAAGAGACTCCCAAACAATACTGGCTACTGCTATTGCTCTTCATTGCCTCCCAGAACCTAAAAGTGAGCCCCCACTGCTGAAGATACCGTGAACTCTGGACACAGAACTTGGAGAATGCGAACTGGATCTAACCTGAAAACTATCTTTCACAACACCAGAAAGTGGTTTGTAATTAAAAAATAAATGTAAAAATTTATATTATACTTATAAAAACATTCAATGGTATCTATGAATTTGCTGGGCATACAAATAGAAACGTAAATTACCAACTGATGGCTCTTGCCAACCATGTTATGCATCTAAAAGAAATGTACAATACTTTTATGGAAAACTTCAAAAAACGACAGACAGCTTAACAGATAGCTTAACAGCTAAGGGTGCCTGACATTATTGCAGAGGACCTGGCTTCGGTTCCCAGCACCCACATCACGGGACTCACAGCAGCCAGGGATTCCAACCATCTTCTGGCCTCTGCAGGCACCTGCATGTATGTCGTGTACACACAGATGAATAACAAAACAGTGTAAATGAACCCCCCCCCCCAATATACTTCCCTTTTAACAATTAGAAACATGTATTCGGGGCTGGAGAAACGGCTCAGTGGTTAAGAGCTCTGGCTGCTTTTTCAGAGGTCCTGAGTTCAATTCCCAGCAACCACATGGTGGCTCACAACCATCCATAATGAAGTCTCGTGCCTTTTTCTGGCCTGCAGACATACATGCAGGCTGAATACTGTATACACAATAAATAAATAAATAAATATTATAAGAAAAGAAACACGTATTCAACTTAATTACCTTTTATAGACATTATTTTTTCCCTCCTTCCTTCCTTCCTTCCTTCCTTTTTGGTTTTTTGAGACAGGGTTTCTCTGTAGCTTTGGAGCTTATCCTGGAACTAGCTCTTGTAGACCAGGCTGGCCTTGAACTCACAGAGATCCTCCTGCCTCTGCCTCCCAAGTGCTGGGATTAAAGGCATGCACTACCACTGCCAGGCTTCCTATTCTCTTTTCAACAAAAGGACACCTATATATCTTACTTTATATGTTCATATTTATCATGTATTTGCAAAATAATTACTTTGTAGTATTGGAAGCTATGATATTCCTATGGTATAAGAACCAAAGTGAAGACAAAAGTTAATGACATCAAATAGTCAGGGAAATATAAAAAGGATACATATGGGTACAAGAATTTATACACGACCAATAAAACTGCCAACTCCTTTAGTAATTTTAAAAATAAATTAAAGTACCAGAGGTTATTTTTAAAATCCCAGGTTGATTAAGTCCGGATAGGACAAGAAAAAAATCATCTGGCTGCAGGTTAATAGAAATTCTTATATCCCTGTTGGTGGCAAGATAAATGATCTATTACTGGTTGCTGAGATGACAACAGCAATTAAGAAACAAGTGAGGATATTCTGATCCTATGATTTTATCAGAAAGAAATTTATCCTAAGGGAATACAAATTCAAAGCATTAAACTAGTAAAAGAAAATGTTTTGGGGCGGGGGGGGGGGGGGCTCATGGCTCCTTAGGGTTAGAGTCTATTATGACGAGGGGCATGGCAGCAAGCAATCAGGCATGGCACTGGAGCAGTAGCGAAGAACTTACAGCCTCTAATCCCCAAGCTGGAGGCAGAGAGAGCTAACTGGGAATGGCATGGGCTTTTGAGACTTCAAAGTGACACACCTCCAAAAAGGCCACACCTCCTATCCTAGTTAGGGTTCCCACTGCTGCAATGAAACACCATGACCACAACAACTTGAGGAGGAAGGGGCTTATTTGGCTTACACTTCTATATTACTGTTTATCACTGAAGGAAGTCAGGACAGGATAGGAACTCAAACAGGGCAGAGACCTGGAGGCAGAAGCTGATGCAGAGGCCAGGAGAGGTGCTGCTTATTGGCTTGTTCCCAAGGCCTGCTCAGCCTGCTTTCTTGTAGAACCTTGGACACGACCCCAGGGATGGCACCACCTACAATGGCTGTGCCCACTCCAATCACTAATTAAGAAAATGCCTTACAATAGGATCATCCTAGAGGCATTTTCTCAATTAAGGTTCCCTCCTTTTAGATAACTTGAGCTTATATGAGAATTAGCCAGTATACCTCCTAATCCTTCCCAAACAGTTCCATCAACTGGAGATCAAGCATTCAAATATATGAGCTTATGGGGGGGGGGGCATTCTCATTCAAATCATCACAATGGCCATGAGCCTCGTGGTAAAATATAAAATAATAGAAATGGGTTAATTTAAGATATAAGAGTAAGCCAGAAATACACTTAAGCTATTGGCCAAACAATATTGCAAATAATATAGTTTTCGAGTAATTATTTCATGGTCTGGGCAGCTGGGAACAGACAAGAGGCCTCCGTCTACATATTATGATGCAATGCTATTTAGTAAAATGTAATGCTGTTTAGAAACTATTAAAAACATTACAGGTATGTCTATTGCTTTACAAAGATACCTGGATATAATAAAGAGTCTGAGGATCCAGGTAAGCAGTACCAAACCCTGCTGAGTAAGTATATTAAATATAAGGCTGGGGCTCAGGGAAATGATCTGTAAATACATATATAATTACTATCACATATTTTTAGCTGTAGAAGAGTACACAAACAAAACATGAATAGTTATGTGTTAACGCATAGAAAGGGAATTAAGGGGTGGGAACAGGGGATACTTACGCATGAAGCACCAGGAAAGTCCAGCAGGACTTCCACCACTGACTAGAGTTGTATCAATTACCTTTCGCCTCTCATCATCTGGGTAAGTCCAGTAGGAGATACAGTTTCCAGAGAGAACACACCATCTTCGATGCCAGGCACCAAAACCACTAACATCTTCAAATATGGTCTGGAAGTCAATTGAAACACTGACATGAGAAAATTAAAGAAAAATGTTTTTATCTGTTATATTTTTATGTGAAAATTTGTTTGTATGAGTTTATCGTGTCTTTTACTTTAGCAATAAAAGTCAGATTGTTCTATCAAAAATGCATTTAAGAATATCTAGACCAAGCCGGGCAGTGTGGTGCTTGTGATCACTGTGAGGTCAAGGTCAGCAGAAGCTAGTAGTCCCTGTCTTGAAGTGCCACATCTTCTGAATGGCTGTCCTAATCACACACAAGTTCACTGGGATGTACAGACTTTAGACAAGAAGAATATTAGTATGTGATTAAAGGATGACTAGATTATCAAATGTGATAAAGCAGAGACTGATGTGACTGACAATCTGCCAATATAGGCAAAGCTGTCTTTAAAATTTCCTGCTTCATAAAAAAGTCTGCCAAATACTATGGGCCCGTAGGCTAGAGATGGATGCTCCAATGTTACAAAAAAATCTTTGGGTGACTGTCCAGGCAGCGAGATGTCTCTATCAATTCTAGAGTTTTGAAAGTAGCTTACAATTCACTTCCTGTTTACTTAGGTAATGTTATATCCTTCTGGTATCTTTGATGGAGTTAAAAAATAGTTATAGTTTTCCTTAGTTATGATAAAAGATAAAATAGATATCAATACTGTAATTATAATTCTTGCTTAATAACTGTTTTATTATAGGTAATTTTACTATGTTAAAGTTAAAACCTTCCTTTTTATTTAAATAGAAAAGGGGAAATGTTGTGGAAAGTCTTTCTGTCTATGTGTTGCTTTTATTGGTTAATGAATAAAAAAGCTGCTTTTAGTCAATGGCTTAACCAAATATAGCCAGGCTGTAAAAGATATATATATACAGACAGAGTAGGCGGAGTCAGAGGAGACACCATGGGGAAAAAAGACGCAAGTTGTTAGTTGGAACCTTGCCGGCAGGCCACAAACCTCATAGTAAAATATAAAATAATAAAAATGGGTTAACCAAAGATGTAAGAGCTAGCTAGCAATACACTTAAGTGATTGGCCAAGCAGTGATTTAAATAATATAGTTTCTGAGTGGTTATTTTGTGGTCTGGGCAGCTGGGAACGAACAAGCATCCTCCAACTAGCAAAAAAAAAAAAAAAAAAAAAAAGAGTGGAGCTGGGTGTGGTGGCACAAGATTTTAATTCTAGCAGAGGCAGGGAGGCAGGTGGATCTCTGAGTTCAAGGCCAGCCTGGTCTACGTAGCAAGTTCTAGAATGACCAGTGCTATATAAAACAGACTGTTAAAAAAAGCAACAAAACAAATGTAATGGCAAAATTGAGATGACCAATGTATATTCTTTGTAAAATGAGACCAATATCTCAAGAAGCCCACCACTTCTACTTTAAGTGTCACTAAGAGAAGTAGATTTACTCCCCAGTGTCCTTCCTCAGCAGCATCCTGCTACCCAACTAGTGCAAGGCAGGGATCAGTCTGAGCACTCTCCTGCCTTTTCCGTCTCACTTCCTGCAGACAAGTCACTAGGACCCACGCTTGCCTTCTCTCGTCTCTCATGTAGAGTGGCTGAGACCTAGTGAGCGAGCCCATCTTTCAGATTGCTGTTCTCTAAACCACCTTCTACACACCACTCACTGTGATTATCCTAAACCCAAAATGTGGCTATCTTCATCTCTTAAAAATCTGTAATAGTCACTCAATTGGCTTCAGAATGAAGTTCAATTTCTTTAAAATACTTGGTCCATTTCTCTAACCTCTGTCCCCAGGCTAAGCCCTTACTATCCGGAAATATTCAGCACTCTCTCCTCCTTCCCTTTGGTTGGGGTGACGGGGAAGGGACACTCAGGACACTGTCCCACTTGCCCGCAGCATCTCTCCCTGCTTCTGCTGACTTACTAAGCAGCTTATGCTCTCTCAGTTCCCAGCAGTGCGCCCTCTGCTTTCTCTTATGATGTAATGCACTTGTAGGTTCACTTCCTTCCTCCATACTAAATTAAAGCTCCTCCTGGACCAGCAAGATGGCTTAGTGGATAACGGCTTATGACTTAAGTTTGATCTCCAGAACCCTCAAGGTAAAGAGAACCAATTTCTGCAACTTATCCTCTGAACTCCATAAACACACTGTGGCATACATGTGCACTTCCCAAATAAATAAATATAATTAAAAATTTTAAAGCCAATTTAAAGAGATTCTTTTCTGTGTCTAATTATATCCTAACACCAGTACAGTCAGTGGCTTAGAGGGAAACGCAACAAATCCTTACAAAACCAATTTATCATGTGATCATATAGGCTTTCTTCCTTCAGGAAGGCAAAAGACGGTAAAGAAGAACAGAGATGTTACTCACTAGGAAACCTTTCTCTTCAACACTTGAATTCACTTGACAGCTGATTTTTAAGCAGATATGACCTTCCAAAGGAGATAAAAAAGGTACCTGTGAAGAAAAAGGGGAACTTATTTGTAAAATCGTTTCAAAGTTTGATCTTTCTTGATAAATCATGAACACAAAATACTATACTATGAAAATACATTACATTCTAAAGCTGAAGTATAAAAGAGCCACTGGTTCCTCAGCAATAGATACTTTTAATTAAAGAATAAATTCATTCAAGGTAGAATTTTACAAAAACAAAAGTTCCAAGATCCAAATTAATGAGAAAAGAAAGGAGATTTGAGACTAGGAGCTGCCGACTCCTTTATTGGGAGACACTCAGGAGTCTGGATAGACCAGCACTGTACACTCCTACAATGCAGCAGTACTTAGCAATAAAGACAAATAAGCCACACAACAGGAAAGCCAATCCTTAAATCTATATGAAATTGCAAGGACTGCAAGTAAGTAATCAAAACCATCAAAAAGAACACATGGAGGAATCATACTTCCCAGTTTCACAAATTAATTCAAAGTTGAAATAATGGACACAGTATGAAAGCAGCAGATAGAGAGATCAACACACGGGCACACGAAACAGAACCGAGAGCCAAGAAAGAACTGAAGCTGTGCCAGAGGCGGAGGACTGCGTGGCATGCACAAAGCCTGACCCAATCTGCAGTAATCAAAGACAGAGACCAGAAATAACCCCACATATTGATATGTGATTATTTTTTGCCAATTAATTTTTGAAAACTGTGCCAAGACTATTCTAAGAAACAAGCAGTCTTGAGCAAATGGTAGTGAGAAAACTGGAAATTCACATGCAGAAGTGTAGGCTGGTGTCTTCATCGGGTTCCCACTGCGACTCAAAGCAACTTGGAGGGAAATGGATGTATTTCATCTTACACTTCCAGTCACCGTCCACCCCTGAGAGAAGCCAGGGCAGGAACGGAGGCAGGAACTGAAGCAGAAGCCGTGGAGAAGTGCTGCCGACTGGCTTGCTCAGCCTTTTGTCTTATGTAGCCCAAGACCACCTGCTTAGTAGTGCCAGTGCCCACTGTAAGCTGCAGCCTTCCACGTCAATCAAAGAAAATGTCCCACAGGCTTGCCCACAAGCCAAACTGGTGGAAGTATTTTCTCAATTGAGGTTTCTTTCGTTTTCTCTTTCTTTCTTTTTCTGGTATTTTTTTTGAGACAGGGTTTCTCTGTGTCTCTCTGGCTGTCCTATAACTCACTTTGTAGACCAGACTGGCCTTAAACTCACAGAGATCCGTCCGCCTCTGCCTCCTTGAATGCTGGGATTAATGGTGCGCGCCACTATCGCCTGGCTCAGTTGAGGTTTCTTAATCTCAAATGATTCTAGTTTATGCCAACATGAGAAGAAAAAAAAAATCCTACTAAGCAGAACAGCTGAACCTCGACCTCATAACATCAATGTTAACTTAGAATAGATTATGACTTAAATATGAAAGCTACTATCACCAAAAGAAGAAAATACAGAAGTAAAATTTCATGCTCATAGATTTAGCAATGAATTGTCAGATAAGATATAAAAAGCACAAGTAAGATGAAAAAAAACAGGCTTTATCAAAATTAAAAACCTTTCAGAAAAGAGGGTCCTCAGAAATTAAGAGCACAGAGACTCATAATCTGCTAAAATTTAGAGAACAAAGGACTGCCGCGTGAAGGAAGGGGCAATAATCTAACAGGGAGAGGAGGGGTGGTGTGGGACGCACCGGCTTCAGGGATCCCTGCATCATAACATGGCCACTACATCCCTGAACTCTTAAGGGCTGTGGCCACCCGCTCAGGAGCTCTGCAAGATTAGGCCTGTCAGCATTCTGTCTCGGAAGGGGGAGATGCTCATAGGGCCCCACCCCTCCCTGGGGATTTACAGGGAGATGAACGGTGGGGAGGGAAGACATCTTCAGTGGTGTAGTCACAAAAGGGGCTAGGGTTTCTGGAGGGAATGTGCAAGTATGAAAAAAAAAACAAACTAAAATGCACTAATATGTATATTAATATGCTAACAGAAACATCTAAAAACAATGAACACAATTACAGCCCAGAGTAGTGGCACAAATTTCATCTACACAGGAGGAGGCGGAGTGGAGTCTGGGATAGAGTTCAAGCTCATCCTCAGATACAAGGCAAATTCAAGGCCAGACTGGACACCTAAGGCTTTGTCTCAAAACAACATAAACAAAAACAGGGCCACCAAGATGGCTCCCTGGGCAGAAATGCTTGCCACCAAGCCTTACAGCCTGTATTTCATTCCCAGGAATTGACACAGGGGAAGGAAAGACTGTCCTTGAACTTACATGAGTGCTATGGCATGCACAAGCACACGCACAAAGTAAATAAACGTAATTTAAAAAGAACTATCATGACACCTCTTACCATGAGACATTTGCACTACTCACATGTCAATCAAATGATCCACATGTGGGCTGGAGAGATGGCTCAGTGGTTAAGAGCATTGCCTGCTCTTCCAAAGGTCCTGAGTTCAATTCCTAGCAACCACATGGTGGCTCACAACCATCTGTAAAGAGGTCTGGCGCCCTCCTCTGGCCTTCAGGCATACAGACAGAATATTGTATACATAATAAAATAAATAAATATTAAAAAAAAATTAAAAAAAAATGATCCACATGTGTCGTGCCTGGAAAAGCCAAAGAATTCAACAGCAAAAGAGCCAAAAGACAAACTCAATGCAAATCAGACTCACAAGAAAGGTGGTTACGGTGGCTCAAACTCACAGCCCTAACCGGAGAAATGCCTGAAATGGAGGGCAGAGCCTGTCTCAAACCAGTAAGCCACTTCATAGCTCCTAGGAAGGTCATGTCTCAAAAAGAAAAACCCTGGAAGTGGAACCTCCTATTACTGTGGTTCTTTATAAGGATAATCCAGACTATCATTATGATTCCCCAGTCACATTCCTGGATATACACACAACCACAGAATCAAGCTAAAATGACAGAAACAACTCAAACATCACAGAAGAACTCAAAGTTTTGGAGACATGGGTTTATCTTGGAAAAAAGAGATGATAGCTGAACATGCCCATCAATGTATTAAGTGCCACTAAACTGTTCATTTAAGTTTGTACTTTTGTTGAATGAATTCTAACTCAATGAATCATTTCCAATTTATTGATCTGTGTCGAGGGTTGTTTTTCTGTTTTTCTTTTTTCAAGACTGTTAGGATCCAGTGCGAGCGAGTTCAAGGAACTCCACGGCAGGTGAGAGACAGATATGCTATACAGACCATGCTTACAAACGTTTTTATTGGGAGACAGGGAATGGGAAAGGGGGGGAGGGATGGAGAGAGAGAGATAGAGAGATAGAGATAGAGAATCACAAAATCACAAATAAGCCTGTCTGCCTCTTGGGGGTGGGGGAGAGCTGGAATGGGTGGAGCTTGTCTCTTAAAGGGACCTTTTGTGCATGCCTGCAGAGCCTTAAACAGCTATGCAGTGCATGGCGTAGGTAATCTAGGGCACTGGCTGACTAAGTATTTGTCTGAATTGCTACTAGGTGCATCCTGTCAGGTGACAGGGGGCTGGCCAGCATAATGCCTGAATCCTAAGGAAGACAGGGCCTCACTTAGTCCAGGCTGACCTTAAACTCAGAGAGGTCTATCTACCTCTGCTTCAAGTACAGGGATTAAAGATGTAAACCATGACACCCAGCTGATCGTTTTCGAAACAATGAACTCCTAACACATAACATGAATAAACCTCAAAACCTATAACGTTGAGCAAAAGGGGTTAGACTAAAAGACCGCACATGTTCCTAAAGGAAGTTTAACACGGAGCCAAAATAACGCATGAGGGCAGAAGTGAGAACAGGCGTCTGTGTGGCTGGGGCTGATAACAAGGGATGGTAGAAATGCTGTATACCGTGCTTGGTGTACACTTGTCAAAACTCACTGAATTTTGCCTTAAGTTCTTTATATTTACCTAAATTTAAAAATTTTTTACACAGTTTACCATCTGGACTATTTTATCTGGTTTTCATTTGTGTGTGCGCACATAGCACACTTGTGGAGGTGAGAGGACAACTTGATGGAGTCTGTTCTCTCCTTCTACCTTTACATGGTTCCCGTGACCAAACTCAGGTCCACAGGCTTGTCATCCTACCTGCCCCTTGAATAAAATGTGCATAGCATGACGACAGTCAGTCAACTGTGGGTGTTCTTTCTATTACTGCAGATGAGCTTTCATGTACATCACTTGTCACAAGAAAACAAGTTTGTTTTAAAGGAAAGAAATTTAAACACATAAATATTCTTAACCAGTTATGATTCAACTTATGGCATTTGATACTGTGCAATAAGTAAATATGCACTTAGCAGAAACTGTCTTTGAATTTTATCTTTCCCAGGCTAACGAGACGCAGTACAGCTCTCTGTTGAGTCTCTCGGGGCTGGACATCATTGCCCGTCACAGGTTCTCATCAGCCACAGAGAGGGGACTGTTACTTTAGAGCATCTCATGTCTTTGGCAAGCTTTTACTAATTAAAAAATTTGGCAAAGTGCATGAGATACTCCTTACTTTCTTATACAATAGGATTTATGTTAGATAAATTTGTTCAAGCACAGGCTAATGTTTATGGAGGGAGGGCTAAGCCATGCTTAGTAGGTTTAGGTATCTTAAGTGATTTTCAATTGATGATGAGATTATCAGGATATGAAGTCATTTCAAGTGAAGAAGCACCTATTATCAACACACACAAACACACCATTGAAACAGGGACCCCAAAACAATGGACTAATCACTCTATTTCTAAGCTCAAAATCCTGTCATTCTGATGGTTTTACTTCATCACTGTTTTCCCTAAAATATTTGAACTGACATTTCCACTTCCTAAAGGAAACCTCTCTCTATATAAGAGGCTCCTTCAAGTCAGCTGAACTTTGGAACACCCTTTTCTCAGAAACATATAAAGCAAAAGTATTCTGGATGTCGCATTGGATTTGAGACTGCAACTGACTGAGATTCACCATTTAAGTGCCAGGACTCAGCCTTTAAATTAGTTTTCAGCCTAGATAACACAAAAATCTACTACTTGGGGTTCTGGGGATCTAACTCCCTCCTTGCGACCTCTGCAGGAACCAGGCACACACATGGTACACATACACATATGCAGCCAAAACACTCATACACATAAAAACAATTTTAAAATATCATACCAATAGTTCTTTTAGTCTATCAAATATAGTCAAATTAGAATAATTTTATCAGAAAAATAATCAACATGAATATAGATTTCAAAAAATTATAAAATGTAGGCTGGGAATGCAGCTTAGTTGGTAGAGTGCTCGCCTAGTGTGCATGAAGCTCTGGGTTTGATTCCCAGCACCCAATGTTAAGCCGTGAAGACCAATGGGCTGTGATTCCAGCACTTGGAAGGTTGCTAGGTAAGAAGTTGACAGTCATCTTTTGGCTACATAGTAAGTTCAAATCCAGCCAAATATAAATGAAACCCTGTCTTAAAAAAAAAAAAAAGCCAGGCGGTGGTAGCACTGCCTTTAATTCCAGAGCTCAGGAGACAGAGGCAGGTGGATCTCTCTGTCTGAGTCCAGCCTGGCCTACAGAGCAAGTTCCAGACAACCAGCCAAAGCTGTTGCATAAAGAAACCCTGTCTCAAACAACAACAAAGAAGCACAAAATGGAAGGAAGTATATATAGTAAATTCTAAAGTAAACCTACAAGGAAAACAATGAGAAAATTTAAAACTTATAGTTTTCTTTATATAGTTTATGAAAGAAAACTTTATATAGTTTATATATAAAGAAAACCTTACATAGTTTATGAAAGAAAACTTTCATAATTTAGAATTATGAAAGTATATTAAAAGACGCCCATATATAAGAGCCCAAAGAATGAATTTTTTGTTTCTACATGCATATTGTTAATTATTCAAATAAACAAAAAAATATACAAGAGTGGTTATGGAAACAAACACACATGGACCAAAAATCAAGGATTGGTTATTGTTTTGAAGAGAACATTAGTTCTTTTTTAAAATTATTAAGTTCAACTTATTCATCAGAACATATACTTAACCAGCAGCTTTAACATAACATGATTAAGAAATAATACAGGCAGAAAATGATTTCTTAAGCACATTAATTTTAAGTAAAGAAAATAAAGCAACCTTTTCCTGGAACAAATAGCCCAGTAGCTCCTGTTCTCTTACATCAAAATTTATCTAAAATAAACAAAAAAGAAAACAAAAAGAAAACAAAAAAATCCAGAATCACTCAATGTGTTAAGACTAGTCAAATTACTAAATAAAACTCACATACAATTTTAGCTATTAGCATGTTAAAATAATTTTTGCATTAGCAGTAGTAAAAATTAAATCATGGTCAGCACTGTCTATTAATATTTCCATAGTTTTAATGTTAGGCTGACTAGTATTAATCTAATATCCCCTACGGGGAAGTAAGAGCCATGAGAATGAAGTTACCAGCACAGCTTGCATGAAAGCTGGGGTCGGCCTCCAGTGCTACCAGAGAAGGAGATATAAACTACAATCTGCCCGAACGACAGAAGCCCAGCCTCTCTTCAGCAGTTTAACCTCTCTGTTCTGACTACAGAAACCCAATACAAAGTACCCAAAGGCTGCATGCTCTCTCCACCCGGGAAGAATTTTCACAGTCCACCTGAAGTCAATAGCCATTAGAGATGGAGAAGGTAAACAGGAAAGGGGGGCAGTGGAGGAGGTGGGAAGTCAAGCAAGTACTAGAACACAATCAGGCTAGGCACAGTATCCCAAGCTGGGAGTCTCAGCAATTCAGAGGTAGGGATGGAAGGCTGGGAGTTCTGGGTCAGCCTCGGCCACACACAAGATTGATGGTAGCCTGGGCTATGGGAGTCCTTAACTCAAAAACAAAAACCCCAGGAAAAAAATCTACCATTAGAAGGAATAAATTCTAGTGTCCACATCACAGTGGGAGGATTATTTGCATAATAACCTATTAAGTATTTTAAGAAAATACTAAGACAGGATCTCAAAAGTTCTAAACAGTAAAGAATGAACAGATATAAAATCTAATTATCTTGACTGGATCAGACACACTGTGCACATGTGTTAAAGTAAATACGCAAATTATTACATGCCAATAAAAAATTTTAATTAAGATTTAAAAACTCTATTTTTTAAAAAAATCTGTATTTAAAAAACAGTCACTATATTTATGTATCTATCAGGAGTCAATCTGAGCGAGCTCCCTACCACAGTCTATTTCAATGCTCACTCACCTCACACTATGGTGAGAAGCACTCCACAGTGAAAAGTACAGACCTGAAGTCTGAAGCGTAAAATTTAGGAAGGAAGAATGGGAAAGATCTCGTAAATTAAAAAGCTGTGACTGGCACATGCCTATAATCCCAACAGTGAGAGGTTAGGGCAGGAGGACCAAGGAAGTTCTAGCCTGGGCTATTTAGCAAGTTTTGGGCAAGCCTCAATGACACAGCAGGAACTTGTCCTATAAAATATATAAAGCTAAATCCATAACATATTGAATTGTTTCAAAATATAAACAATACCTAAATGCGACACTTAATGTTAATCAGAATTGTCACAGAAACTAGACCAAAGATTTTATTTAAATCTATTTAATAGTATCAATATGCAAAATACTTCCAACATATATCACTCATGTATACCTCTATCTATTAAAATGTACAATTCTAAGAATGTGTATTTAAGCCAAAGATTTCAAACATTTGAAAGTATTTTGGAATTTCTATAGACTAATATTTTTAAGTGTACACACAATCATAAGTCTAGTAGAGTTACCTTGTCCAAAGCAAACTTAGTGTCTCCAACGGAAGATAATGACAGTGTATGAGATCCAACAAGGGTAAAGTTGCTAGTGCGCACAGCACCGAGACCTCCTGGACTGGCCATAACTGTAGAGAAATGCAGCAAAATTTAGTTCAGTTTGGCTTTCCTAAGTTTGAATAGAAATGGCCCCATAGGCTCATGTTTCAATGCTTAGTTCTCAGCTGCTAAATCATTTGAGAAGTATGAGGGTGTGTGACCTTGCTAGAATAGCCTTGCTGTGTGGCCTCATGGGAGATGTATCACTGGGAGTGGGCTTTGAGATTTAAACAGCCCATGCCAAGCCCAGTCTCAACCTCTTTCAACACCTACCTCCCAATGCCCCAAACCACTGCCTGTGGATCAGAAAGTAAAGCTCTCAGTTATAGCCTGTCTGGTGCCTGCCATGATGATGGACTCACCCTCTGAAACTGGAAGCAAATCCCCAATTAAATGCCTTTTTTTCTAAGTGATGCTTTGGTCATGGTCTCCACAGCATTAGCAAGGTGACCATGACACTAAGTAATAAGCAATGACTTCTCACTATCCACAAGTATGAAATAAAACCTGCCAGAGAGAATCTGCCTCATTTTCCTTTTCATTCTTTGTCTTTTGTGACAGGGATGCATCCCTTTGGCCAGGCAGGCTGAAGTACAGACTGCCCAGAATGGCCATGAAAGCACAGCAATCCTCTTGCTTCAGCTTTTCCAGGATCGAGATCACTCACAAGTTTGAGGCTCCATGTGCAATGTCCTCCAGTTTTACTTTAGTGTATTTGATTGTTTGTGTGCACGTGCAGTCTTGTGAGGATCAAGAGAACAATTTGAGCCGGGCAGTGGTAGCGCACACCTTTAATCCCAGCACTCGGGAGGCAGAGGCAGAGGGATCTCTGTGAGTTCGAGACCAGCCTGGTCTACAAGAGCTAGTTCCAGGACAGGCTCCAAAGCCACAGAGAAACCCTGTCTCGAAAAAACAAAACAACAACAAAAAAGAACAATTTGACAAGTCAGTTCTTTTCTGCCATGTTGTGGCACCCCAGGATCAAACTCAGACCTTAAGGCCTACATATAAGAATCTACCTGCTCAGCCATATCACTGTCTCACCTCAACTTTAAATATGGAAGAAAATCAAAGATCAAGCTTTCCTAACAAAAGAAAAGTATTTAATTATTTTTAACTGAAATGCAGGCACTTCTTAACATTTGGTAAAATTATGTTTTTATTGACACAGAACCTAAAAATTTTGACATAAAGCAAATTCCCCATAAAAAATTCAGAGAAGCTGACCAGCTAGATGGCTCAGTAGGTAAAGGCATTTGCCAAGCCAAACCTTACGGCCCAGTTTCCATCACTGGAACCTATAAAGTGTAAGAAGAGAACAAACTCTGACCTATATATGTGCATGTATACACAGACACATATCAGTAAATAAAATGACAAGAAATATGGAAAAGACTCCCTTACTATTGGTAATCCTGAGTGATCTTAGTAACTTTCTTGTACCACAGTTGAGAGAACAAACACACAACATAAATGAGGCCAGTTCCATCACAACCCACTTTGAAAACCTGAGCCTAAATTCATTACAGAGGACTTTTCTTGTTCACTAGCAACCCAGTTCCCAGGGCCCTAGAGAGATGCTTTGTTGACATGTTACAATGCTAGTTGAAATCAGTAAGTTACAGAAGCAAACCAGTTGGGCGGTGGTGGCACATGCCTTTAATCACAGCACTCGGGAGGCAGAGGCAGGCGGATCTCTGTGAGTTTGAGGCCAGCCTGGTCTACAAAAGCTAGCTCCAGGATAGCTAGGACTGGTACACAAAGAAATCCTGTCTCGAGAAAAACCAAAAAAGAAGCCAACTCCATGGTGTTGATAATAAAAAAAGTGAAGCAGGGCTGAAATTACTAAGTGACTAGTCATGACTGCTGCAATCTGAAAAAACCCTTAATGATTAGCTTATATTGCTGCCTAACAAATCAGACTACAATCTATTCTGGCCAGTAATAAAAAAAATTCCTGTAGGAAATGTTTTCCTGTGGCTGGAGAGATGGCTCAATAGTTAAGAATGCTCAATGTCCTTACAGGGGACCAGAGTTCAATTTCCAGCACTTATTAAGGGGTGGCTCACAATTGCCTTTAACTCTAGCTCCAGGAAATCCAACATCCTCTTCTGGCCTCTATGTGCACCTGCATTGCACATGGAGATATGTACGTGCCAACAGGCATGCACACACACACGCACACACACAATTAAAATTAAAAATCTATCTTAAGGGGCTAGAGAAGCAGTTCAGTGCTTAAGAGCACTGGACCTTCTTTAGAGAACCCAGGTTTAATCCTTAGTACCTATAAGAGATTCATAGCCACCTGTAACTTCAGTTCCAGAGGAGCCACACACAAATACACATCACATGAAAAAAATTTTTAAAACTCTTAAAAAAGAAAATAATTTTTCAAATCAAATCAAGAAGGCATATGTATATGGGTGTGCATGGTTGGATAAATTTTTGTTTGTTTGTTTTTTTGTTTTGTTTTTCGAGACAGGGTTTCTCTGTAGCTTTGGTGCCTGTCCCGGAACTAGTTCTTGTAGACCAGGCTGGCCTCGAACTCCCAGAGACCTGCCTGCCTCTGCCTCCCGAGTCTGGGATTAAGGCGTGTGCCACCACCCGCCTAGCATGGTTGGATATATTTATAAAGGTATGAAACTGCTAAATTTACTTATTCTAAAGCTTCAAATAGTTTAGATCCACTCACCTGAAGAATGAAGGTTGCTTTTCTAACAAAAAAAAAAAGATGAAGAAGACACATTAATTATCTATTATTTAGTATGAAATAAAGTACAAAATTTTAACACTACAAGGACTACAGTTGAGAAAACACGCTTCCTATATAAGTTCCAATAATTAACATTCACTTACTTTGAGAAAGTCTGTCTTTGTAGTCCATATTGGACTTGCCCCTGCTTCTGTCTCTCAAGTCCTGGGACCCGTCAGTGCATTTTAAAGACTTCTATACTAGTGAAGGCTAAAGCTAGTTTCTTAATTTGTAGTATTATTAAAAATGTAGATTTATCAAGAGAATTTGAGTTTTAGAAAAATTCTACTTACTGAAGTTATAGATGTGAGAAGTCTCTTTGGAGTAATAGCCTGGAAAAGGAGAGAGCTTAGCATATTTTCTATTAAATATTGCAATTCAGAGCTTTAATGTTCTTGCACAGAAAATAACTGTTAAATATAAACATTACAGACCACACCAAATTCCTTTATCAAGGCTTTTCAAACACTGCTTTACTCTTTGAAAGTAGCGCGCGCGCATGTGTATAATGTTCTCTCCACTTCTACCTGTGTGTGTGTATAATGTTCTCTCCACTTCTACCTGTGTGTGTGTTTGTGTGTGTGTGTGTGTATAATGTTCTCTCCACTTCTACCTGTGTGTGTGTGTATGTATAATGTTCTCTCCACTTCTACCTGTGTGTGTGTGTGTGTATAATGTTCTCTCCACTTCTACCTGTGTGTGTGTGTGTGTGTGTATAATGTTCTCTCCACTTCTACCTGTGTGTGTGTATAATGTTCTCTCCATTTCTACCTGTGTGTGTGTTTGTGTGTGTATGTATAATGTTCTCTCCACTTCTAACTGTGTGTGTGTGTGTGTGTGTGTATAATGTTCTCTCCACTTCTACCTGTGTGTGTGTATAATGTTCTCTCCACTTCTACCTGTGTGTGTGTGTATAATGTTCTCTCCACTTCTACCTGTGTGTGTGTGTGTGTGTATAATGTTCTCTCCACTTCTACGTGTGTGTGTGTGTGTATAATGTTCTCTCCACTTCTACCCAACAAAAAATTTAGAATAAAGGAAGACTTTAAAACTGGGGAGAGAAAAAAATTTTCTTTTTTGGTTTTTTGAGACAGGGTTTCTTTGGGTAGTCCTGGCTGTCCTGGAACTCACTCTGTAGACCACGCTGTCCAAGATCTGCCTCCCAAGTGTTTGGATTAAATTCATGTGCCCCCACCACCCAGCCAGAAGAAATGTCTAATGACTTAGGAAGAAAACAAAAGAGCAAAGATTAGAAAGGCGGAAACCAAGACCCCAGTAATCATATTTCTCAACCTTGGCCTGTGCAGACCTGCCGAGACAGGAGCACAAAGGAGCTGAAGTAAGCTATAAACTCAATTTTTAAGCAATATTCAGAAAATAAGATATTTGCATGTATTAGAAGGGCCCTGATTACACTTATCATAATGACTTGTGTATGTTTACATTCTACAGTCATACCTATACTTAATTCAGTAAATAGAAATTTGGATCCTGTAACTGATTTAAAAAAAAAAGAAAACTTTAAATCACCGAAACTTACCAGAGAGTGGCACCATTAGAAGGTGTGGCCTTAGAGTGTGTGGCCTTGTTAAAGGAAGTGTCACAGGGGACGGACTTGAAGGTTTCAGAAGCTCAAGCCAGGCCCAGTCTCTCTCTCCTGCTGCCTGCTGATTCAGATGTAGAACTCAAGCCACCTCTCTAGCACCGTGTCTGCCTGCCATGTTTCCTGCTGTGACCATAACGGACTAAACCTGAACATAAGCTAGCTCCAATTAGATGCTTCCCTTATAAGCATTGCATGGCCACAGAGTCTCTCACAGCAATAGAACACTGACTTAGATGCTTTTACTAGGTCTCTGTAACTCTCACCTTGGACTTTAATGCTTTCTTCTTCTTATCAGGGCCTGATGAATCTTTCTTTTGTACCTACACACAAATCCAAAGCATAACGATCTTAAAATTTGGTATTATTAAGGAAATATATTATTGTTCATTTCAGAAAGCTTTTTAACTGCTTACCAAGCTGTAAACTTCAACATTTATTTCAAAGTCATTGGAAACATCATTCCTGGAAAAAAAAAAGTATTAAATAAAACTGTAATAAAAAACTAAACTCATGTCTTTAAAAACAATGCACAAACACGGTTACAAGACTCAAAGTAAAAGATTCCATCGTATACAACTAAACCTGTAAAGAATGATAAAAAAAATGGTAAAACATGTATTTTCTAAGATATAGTTCGGAGATACTTGTGTTACTAATAATAAAGTAAGGCCAGTGAGGTAAATGTGCCTGCCACCGAGGTTGCATGAGCACTGAACTCTATCCCAAGACCGGCAGAGCAAAGAGGACTCCCACAAGCTGTCCTTCTGACTCCCTCATTCCTGGGCTGCTGTATGCAGGCAATTTTAGAAGTTTATAGAATAAATAATACTAGTAATGATAAAAGCAGAAAGATTTTTTAAAAATAAGATTTTGACTGCAGTTTAATATGTATTTGATACTAATTATCTTTTAGCGATAATAAAATATTGTTACAGCTAGGCAAGATTGCGCATGCCTTTAATTCCAGCACTTGGAAGACAGAGACAGGCAGATCTCTGAGTTTGAGGCCAGCCTGGTTTACAGAACAAATACCATGATAGCCAGGACTACAAGGAGAAACCTTGTCTTGAAAACTCAACTCAAAAATAAAAAAATATTATGTGATTTAAAGCATCTATAAAAATAATGGTGCAAAATACTGAAGCACAATACATACTGCATATCTATAGTCAAAAAAGTATCAATATATATAAATCAGTATAAATCAGAAAGACGAGCTAAACCTGAACAACTGAAAATTGAGTTATCTGTTCATATTTAAAGAATAAACAGGGGTCCAGATGATGGCTCAGAAGCTAAAGGGGCTTGCTGCATAGGCCTAGCAACCTAAGTTCAATACCCAGAGCTCACATAAACGCAGAAGGAGAGAACAGATTCTAGTTATCCTCTAACTTCCACACATTCACTATTAAACACAAACTCATGCACCCACATCATGCAAGTATACACACACACAGATAATAATCACAAATACATTCTTAAAGATTAATTATTTTTATTTTATGTGTACGGGTGTTTTGTCTACATGCATGTCTATGGATCACACCTGTATGTGGTGGCTGCAGAAGTTAGAAGACAGCATTGGATCCTCAGGAACTAACTAGAGCTACAAATTGTTGTGAGCTGCCACAAGGATATTGGGAACTAAACTTGGTCCTCTGAATAATAGCCTATGTTCTTAACCATTGGGCCATTTCTCCAGAATCTCATAAATAAACTTAAAAGGAAAAAGAAAAAAGAAGAGGAAGAGGAAGAAGAAAGGGAAAAAATTTGCGGGAGGTGCTTCAAGGGCCTATCTCCAACCGAGACACTGGCAGCTGATGGTTACTGGGGTGGGGGAAGACATGGGGCATTTTTTTCAGTGGGGCAATCACTGATAAGTTGCCCATGCTATTGTAAGTAACCCCTTACCCATGGTCCTGTGCAACCCTAATTTAAACTCATTAGCTCACTGAATAATAACTAAAATAGACAAATTAAGGGGATGCATGTGGTAGAGTACCTGCCTAGTTCACAAGGTCCTAGGCTTGGTTTTAGTACTACCAAAATGAAAAGACAAAGGACTGAGAGTAGATGGACAACAAAGGGATCAGCAGAGTGAGATGAGACAAAAAAGGGTAGTGGGGAGCTAATATAACCAAAAATATATTATTTGCAGGAATTAAAATAACATGTCATTATATATAACATATGCTAATAAAAATATTGCATTAATTATAATAAATTAGCAAACAATCATAAATACATTTTAAATACTATAAAAGTTTGGGGTCTGGCAGTGGCAGGTAGATCTCTGAGTATGAGACCAGCCTGATCTAGAGAGTGAGTCCCAGGACAGCCAGGGCTACACTGAGAAACTATCTCGAAAAATACGCCCCCACACCAAAAAAAAAAAAAATCTATAAAAGTTTGGGATGTAGTTTGCTGGTAATGCATGTTTAGCATGCACAAAGCTGAGTTCCATCCCATGCACTACAACAGATAAAACGAGATCATAAGTTATCAGTCAAATGCCGAGACTGTCTCACTCTATTTAAAGAAAAACTTGTCTGAATCATGAGATACTCAATTTACTTACAGAGTAAATGTGGTGGCAAATGTCAGAGCGTCACCACTCAGAGAGTTTGAAGTACTTGCTAATGGTGTGGCGACCATATGGTCAGCTCCAGCTTTTAGCATAATTAAGTAGTAGTAATTTGATGCATCTGTAATAAGCAACCACATTGCAAAATTAGCAAAGGAGGATCAAACTTCGCTAGACAACATTCTAGAGAATCAAAAGTCATACTGCACTTGACCCACATAAAATTTATATTTACAATGTCTAAGATCAAATTTCTCAAAATAAAAAAACTAAGAAAGACAAGCTGATACCTATGGTCCAGGAATAAACATCAAGTCTTCTACTTACATAAAGCAAAATAACTTCATTCTACATTCTTCCCTTTCTGCTATAATCTATTAGGCAGTAATAAGTATATTCCTCTAAAAGGTAAATTATGATTTGTTATTTCAAAATTGACATTTAAAAACCATTAAGGGTTACTCAGGGATAATATGTAATAAAACATGAACTATTTATTCACTATTTATTACTAAGTAACAATATTTCAAAGACTAAATTACCAAGTTTTCGGCATTATAGTAAAATCAGGCAACAGGAAATATAACCTAGATTGGCTCATTTCTACAATAATACTCAAACTTTTCTTCATTTGTTTGTTCAGAAACAGGAACTCCTTCTCTAACACAGGCAGGGCTTGAATTTGAGAAGATATACTTTTGTAATCTTCCAAACTACTGGGATTATAAACACTAGCCGCCACATCCAGTGAATGTTATTTAAAAAAAAAAAAAAATTAAGTCCTAGGGACTGAATTCAGGGACTCATCATACATGTAAGGCAGCACGGGATCTTAGACTATACCTCTGGCCCCACCCCTCCCCAAACTCTGGAGACACACAGGTGTCACTTAGTTGTTCATCTGGCCTTGAGCTCAGGACCACTGCAGCCTCCCAAGCAGTGGGATGACAACCTTGCTCCACATGGTCCCACTGAAGGCTCAACCATGTTATGTCTCCACTCTTTCCCCAAACCTCAAATTCACCTCTCAATTTTAAGACTTCTTTACTCCAAAGATAAAGTTCTAATTAAATAAAAATACAAAAGAATCTTAAAACAATTCTTATCCAACATTTCACATGAGTGTTCTAGAAATATCCTGCTGTTTTCAGAGCATACTGCCATATTCCTCTTTATCCATATGACTCTCAAATGATTTTTTTGTAGATTAGGTAATCTTAAAAGGTCATTGTGGTTATCCAATCCAGAAAAGAAAAGGAGATAGAACTTCAATATAGTATAGTCACTGAGCAATTATCACTCACACAACCAATAATTCAAAATTTCTAGAAGGAACTTATAAAATGGGGTGAATTTTAACAAGAATAAAGTAAACTTTTTAAATGACCTGACACATAACAAAACTAATCATAATGAAATGTAGGAGAGGGGTCCCTTGTTCTGTCCCGGCCGCCCTGCTAGCTTACACCTGAAATAATCACACAGAAACTGTATTCATTTAAACACTGCCAGGCCCATTAGTTCTAGCCTCTTACTGGACGACTCTCACATCTTGATTCAACCCATTTCTAATAATCTGTATGTCACCATGAAGTCGTGGCTTACTGGAAAAGATTCAGCATGTCTGACCTGGCAGCTCCATAGCGGCTCTCTCTCTTTGCTTTCTTCCCCCCAGAATTCAGTTCTGTCTCTCCGCCTCCCTAAGTTCTGCCCCATCACCAGGCCCAAAGCAGTTTCTTTATTAACCAATGAAAGCAACACAAATACAGAAGGGCCTCCTACACCAATGAAAGACAAATGTCATGCCTTGTCAAGATAACCTAGGAAAAAAACCTATGTTTTCTGTCATATTATGTTTTGTCTTACTTTGAGATAGAGGGATGTACATACTTGCATGGGTTGCTAACCCTATTATGTAAAATTTCCCCTAATTATTCAATATGAGAAATTGTCCATACAATATGAGGAACAAAACTGTAATGATGTGGGAGTCCCCTCTGTATGCTGTGATTACCCTTAATGAATAAAGAACTGCTTTGAGCCCACAGCAGAGCAGGGCAGGGTGGAGCAGAGCTAGGCAGGGAGGACTGCCCTGAATGCTGGGAGAAAGAAGGGCGGAGTCAGAGAGATGCCATGGAGCCACCAGAGATAGACATGCTGAATCTTTGCCAGTAAGCCACTGCCATGTGGCGATATACAGATTAATAGAAATGGGTTAAATTAATATAAGAGTTAGCCAACAAGAAGCTAGAGCTAATGGGCCAAGCAATGTTTTAATTAATACAGTTTCTGTTTTATTATTTTGGTTCTGGGCAGCCAGGATGAACAAGCATACCACTGCAACAAGGTAAGATGGAAGTTTTGTATCATAATGCATACTTAAATCTTTCTCAAACAAATGCAGTCTAAGTGGACTTCACAATTTTCTGTGTAATCCAGCTTCATACCTGGTTTCTGAGCGGTGCTGCAGACAAAATCTGCTTTCAGAGGCAAGCAGATTTCTGACAAAGTGACTGACCCTTTGGATGGAACAAAGTCACTGTGAGACACGATACCAGCCTTCTTCCTCCTCTGAGGCCCTTCATTCTTCAGCTTATTCAGTTCGTCAATCAGAAGAGCTCTCTTCTCAGCTACATAGAAATAAGCAAGCAAAGATTCTAAATATGAGAACTGCAGCTGGACCTGAATGAGGCCAAGTCATGAGAGCACATGAGTTGGCAACTGAACAAAACAACACAGACAAAATCAGTTACTGTCTCTTCGATGGAACTGTTTGGGTGAAATGTCATCTGCTAGTCTGTTCCCAGGTCCTTACAAAGTGCCAGTTTTTAATCGGTTTTCACCTTCCCACCTCAACTGCTCCATTCCCACATTAGATGTGAGACACAGACAGGAACGTGCACATGTATGTTCATTTAGGATACTGTATTCCAGGTGCAATACACATACTTGCAATCAGAAGAAGTCTTTCTGCCTCAGCTTCTTCCAGGGATCCTTTCCCATGTTCTTCATCAACACAGCAGTTTAGAGCCTGGCTGGCCTGATAGATCACTGTCTGCTGCAAATTTATGTCATTATTGAGCTCCTAGTGAAAGCACAAGAGGAATTGATTAATTACCACCTTATTTAAATTTTAATTCTAATTACACTGCACAGTTTCCAAATATTTTAGAAAAGTCCAAATGTTAGTTTTACTGCACAAGTGTTTAGATTACAGATTCTATAACTGTGGGTTAGCTAGGAACATAAATAACTGTGAGCATCACAAAAAATATAACAACAGTAAAAGGTTGTCAATACAAACAATCAAACATTAGTTCACAGTTAAATTATGTGATGAATCCAAGATGTTCCTGACAGCACTTATCCCTGCACACCTTCCTGTGGCCATACTTCTGAAAACAGCATGTACATCACACGCCATGTAACACCAATGAAGACAACCTACAATGTGACACTCCTGTATTGCAGGAGGCATGGAGGCCTTTGTGATCAGATATTTACTAGGGGATCTCGGAATGTTGAGCACACAGTTATCTCATCAAGGGAAGGGATGAAAACCCTCCTTATCCAAAAGGCTGGAGCAGACACTCAAGTCTGGTGACCAACACCAGCTACTAAGTCCTGATGAACCAAACTCTCTTTTTTGTCTCCCACAGTTCATGACTCTGCTGGCTATGAAGGTCATACTCCATGCCATAAAATGAATTTTTAGTATACATGCAGTTTTCTGCTCCTATAAAACATGATAGTCAGGTGGGCATAGTGGCATATGCAGAGGCAGGGGAATCTCTCTGAGTTAGTTCAAGGCCAGCCTAGTCTACAGAGAAAGTTACAAGACAGCCAGAGCTATATAGAGAAACTCTGTCTTGAAAAACCACAAAACAAATCAAAGCGAACAAAAAACACACAACAGTCCTTTAGTTTCCACACTCAGGAGGCTGAAATACGCAGATCTGAGTCTGAGGCAAGTCTGGGTACATAGCAAGCTCCAGGCCAGCTAAGGTTACATCGGGAGACCCTGTCTCAAAATAAATAAATATACCATACTGCCCTAACTAATTGGACTTTTTTTTTTTTTTTGGTTGTTTTTGTTTTTCGAGACAGGGTTTCTCTAGCTTTTTGAAGCCTGTCCTGGAACTAGCTCTTATAGACCACGCTGGCCTCAAACTCACAGAGAACCGCCTGCCTCTGCCTCCCAAGTGCTGGGATTAAAGGCATGTGCCACCACTGCCCGGCTGGAACAAATTTTTAGTATTTTCCTACCACTGTTCCTTAGCAATTAGCAGCAACTTTATAGTGCAGTTTTTGTTTTCAGAAGTTGCTATTGTGCTGACGTGAGCTCCACACGGTCATTTGGTGGGTCAATTGGCAAAGGGTCTGCTGCACAAGCATGGGGACCTGGGTTCTTATCCCCGCGCCCACACAGAAAACCCCAAGCAAACAAAATGTTTTATTTAGCATAAAACCCCTTTAAGATCACAGTAAGTTTCACATACTATCATCCAACTAACAGTTATAATTACGTTTTGGGCAGTAGAGAGGTGCTGGGGATTGAACCCAGGGCCTCACACATGCTAGGCATCACTATACTACAGAGCTACACAATCTGCTCCAGGGTGATGATGTCACAGCAATGTGAACCAGCTTCCAACTTTCTAAAAGGGGTGTATTCCTGATGTTAAACTGAATCAAGAGTAACTAAGCTCCCACATGCTAGCCTCACTCCAGTCCCTAGGGGCTGAGGTTAGTAGGGCCGCAAGCTCACAATCTAGTTCAAGAAAGTCCACATTCCCTTCACATGCCAAAACATACCTGCATTTTTTGTTTGATATTAATTTGACAAGAAAAGACATTATTCTTTTCACCCAATTTTGAAGCAACATCTTCTTTTCGAACAATCACTTGCTTTATGGAAGGACGTTCTGCTTCTTTGAATCTTTGAGACCTGTATGCATCAATGCTGCAGGGAAAGAGCCACTGTCAGAAATCCACCGAACAACAGAAACCAAATCTCAGACTGAAGCATCAGCACACTTCCCCAAAACGGAAATGTTATTTGGTGAAAGGAAAACCGACAGAAGTTATTCCAAGCTGGGGCTGCTCATCAGTGGCAGACTTCCTGCTCAGCACGCCTGAGGTCCTGAGTTCACTCCCCAGCCACAGTCATCCCAAGCTTACAAAGCTTCGTAAACAAGAGCTAAGCTGTGATGCTTCTCACATCAACCTCAGACGATGCGGTGGAGGCGAGCCTTCCCCATACACCTTACCTATAGAGAAGATCACGATCCTCAGAACTGATGCTATCACCAGACTCGGCTCGAGGAACACGGGTCCTCTGGAATTTTCCGGGTTTGGGACTTGCAGCACTTGGGCTAGTGTCTCCTAACTCCAATTTGGGTGAAGAAATTACATTCTACATAAAAGTAAACAAGTAAATGAGATGTTAGACTTTCAACATTTTTATATTTTTTGTTTTTATTTAAGAGACGTGGTCTTCATTATATAGTCCAGACTAGTTTCCAACTCTTGATCTTCTTGCCAAAACCCCCTTCAACCTGGGGTTACAGACATGTATCACTACACCCAGGATTTACATACCAGATGTTATGGATAGACAACACTAATCCTAAATGATATTTCATTTAATTCTGAGAATGTAATTAATTCCTTTCTGCTATGAAGAAATACATATCTAACACATCTACTGCTTTATAATAAAAATAACTAAACAGATTAAATTTCTACAAAATAAATAGATAAATAACACACAAATCAGCAAATCCATGAGATGCACTGAAAACTGAAATACCTACTGCCACAGAAGTACTGGTCCACAGAGAAGGACCAAACACCACAGAACCAAACTTCAAAAGCTCCACTGGGGGCTAGAGAGAGGACTTGGTAGTTAAGAACAATGACTAATGTTCTAGAGGACCAGGCCTCAATTCCCAGCACTCATATGGTGGTGGCTTACAACCATCTCTAAAATATAGTCCCAGAGGATCCAATTCCTTCTATGGCTTCTGCAGGCACGGCACATACATGATACACAGATAAGCACTCAAGCAAAACAACATACACATAAAATAAAAATGAAGAGGGAAAAAAGTTCTTTAAGTCTGAACTGAGTCACAAAGTTCTGCCTCATGCACCATATTCGCCTGACCTCTCTAGTCAGCCAGTAACACAGACTCAAACATCTCCACAACACTATTTAGAGGAAGATGCTTTCACAGCCAGCAGGATCCAGAAATGCTTTTCAAAAGTCTGTTTAGTCCAAAAGCAAACATTTTACTACACAGTTAAACAAACTTATTTCTCATTGGCAAAAATATGTTAACTTTAAGCCAGGCGGTGGTGGTGCACGCCTTTAATCCCAGCACTCGGGAGGCAGAGGCAGGCAGATCTCTGTGAGTTCGAGACCAGCCTGTTCTACAAGAGCTAGTTCCAGGACAGGCTCCAAAGCTACAGAGAAACCCTGTCTCAAAAAAAAAAGAAAAAAAAAAAAGTCAATGTTTACCTGAGGTCACAGGAACTACTAGAGTTACTAAGAGAATTCTAACAGTGTAGAGGGAAATCCATCTACCAAAAGTGGAAGAAGTATATTATTCAGTGTATTTTGTTATAAGCCTGTGTACATGTCGTCTTTTCTTACCTCTAGACTTACCACACCAACCGTCTGAGCCAAGGGACTAAGCAAAGACATTGAAGAGATATTCAGTGCATCTTCCTGCTCTTCGCTGTTCTCTGCGTCCACTCGCTCCAGCTCCTCTTGGCTCTTTTCCACATCCAGTTCACCTTCCTCTAGGACATCACTGAAGATGTCATTAATGACTTTGGAGCTATTGATATCATCATCCACATTCATTTCAATTTCACGCACTACTTCTGAAAAACATTTCAGTGGGTAGACACTAAGAACCAATGTGGCAGAGGAGGCTGAGTCTCCATGTTTACTAAAATAAACAGGGTTACCCTAAGAAAAATCACTTCCTAACAATGGAGAGAGGACAACTTCCAATGCTTATAAAATCAAGACAAAGCTCATATTTAACAATATTTTAAAAAATTCTGAGATATTTTCTAAGATATAAAGATTAGATTTACAAAGAAAGTAAACTTAGGGGCTGGAGAGATGGCTCAGCGGTTAAGAGCATTGCCTGCTCTTCCAAAGGTTCTGAATTCAATTCCCAGCAACCACATGGTGGCTCACAACCATCTGTAATGAGGTCTGGTGCCCTCTTCTGGCCCGCAGGCATATATTGTATACATAATAAATAAATAATTTTTTTTTTTTTTTTGGTTTTTCGAAGGGTTTCTCTGTGGCTTTGGAGCCTGTCCTGGATAAATAAATATTTTTTAAGAAAGGAAAGTAAACGTAATGCTTTGGATTTAAGTGACAGTATTAAATAGGAATAAGATTCTGACTTTCAAAAGGTACTCAAGGGCTGGAGATAAGGCTTGGTGGTTAAAGTCTGCTATTATTCTAGAGGACCCAAGTACAGTTCTTAGCACCCACAATGGGCAACTCACAACGACCTGTAACTCCAGCTCCAAAACAAAACACTTTGTTTTGGCCTCTAAAGGCACATCTGAACACACCACCATAAAGACACACACACACACACACACACAATTTAAAAATAATAAGTCACGACAGGCAATTGGTATAGGAGGTCCTTCTGTCTATGTGTTGCTTTTATTGGTTAATGAATAAAGAACTGCTTTGAGCCTATGGCAGGGAAGAACAGAACTAGGCAGGGAAAGCCTAGAGAGAAGCCATGGAGCCTCCAAAGAAAGATGCTGGGAACTTTAGCCGGTAAGCCACAGCAATGTGGTGATACACAGATTAATAAAAATGGGCTAAATTAATATGTAAGAGTTAGCCAATAATAAGCTAGAGATAATGGGCCAAGCAGTGATTTAATTAATACAGTTTCTGTGTGATTATTTCAGGTCTAAGCTAGCCAGGCGGCCGGGAACTAACTAGCGGCCTCCCATCTCCTACAGGCAATGGTGGCACATGCCTTTAGTTCCAGCACTCAGGAGACAGAGGCAAGTGGATCTTTGGGAGTTTGAGGCCAGCCTGGTCTACAAAGTGAGTCTACGACAGCAATGGCCACACAGTGAAACCCTGTCCTGAAAATAAATAAAATAAAACAATAAATAATAAACCTTAAACAGCACTGTCCAAGAAGTCCCTTCTATTGTTACATGTCATATCATGCAGTAGTCAGCACAGGAAAATATCAGTCCCATCTCGAGTGATTTAACCGCTAACGGTAGCACTGCTGACTCCCCATGGGAGGCCTTACCCTTTGGGAGGAGTGGGTAGCAGGGACAACTGTGGTTGAAATGCAAAATGAATAAAAAATAAAAGACAAACCAAACAAAAACCAACAGTACCACAGCCCAATGGAAGCTACAGTGCATCCTAGTGTGACAAAAAGGTATTGTAAAGTAACAGGACAGTTAAAATGAGTTACATTACATTACATTACAGTTACATTATTTTGTTATTTCTTACAAGGGATCTAGAACTAAAAAGAATAATGCTGTAAACCAACCAGTTTCCTGCTCAGCCTTCAGGTCTGATGTGACTTTTAAGGACTTTTCCTCTTCTAAAAACAACGTTATTTTCAAAGGGCTGGACTTGGTCATTTTACTTTCATTGGAACCTAAAAGAGTTTGAAAAAAATCAAATTAATGTGTGTGTGTGTGCATGCACATATGTGCCAGGAATAACCTGAAAATGTAAAATTAGAGAGTCATAAATCTTTATTAGAAAGCTATGCTTGGCCGGGTGGTGGTGGTGCACACCTTTAATCCCAGCACTTGGGAGGCAGAGGCAGGCGGATTTCTATGAGTTCGAGACCAGCCTGGTCTACAACAGCTAGATCCAGGACAGGTTCCAAAGCTAGAAAAACCCTGTCTCAAAAAAAAAAAAAAAAAAAAAGAAAAAGAAAAAGAAAAAAAAAAAAAGAAAAAGAAAGAAAGAAAAAGAAAGAAAGCCATGCTTATACTTTTAAATATTGGAATCTATAAATGGAGGGAGAAGTGTTTTATCTGTTTTCTCTTAATTTCCTGTTTTTCTCTCCACCACGAGGAAAAATGACAACAATAGTACAAGTTTTCTTTATTCAGCCTATTCCATAATTAGTTTTCACCTAAAAAAAGAAAAAGTGTAAACAAAATCACTCAAAACTAAGTCCAGAAGATCATTTCCTCAGACAATAGATGAAAAGTCTTAGGTAACACTAACACACTCACTGACAAGAGACTGACAGCATTCCTCTAAGATGGGAAACATAAGGCATGCCTGCTCTCCCTACTGAACACAATCATTTTAAAGTCTTATCAAAAACAACCAAATAAACAATAAAGATATAAAAGGCATCCAAACCAGAACAGAATTACCACGATTTCAGCTCACAAATGGCATCCCCCAATGCTGACAACCCTGAAGATGCTAACAAAAACATAAGGCAGCACATGGCCTGTTAGAACTAATAAATTTAGTAAATTCAGCAAAGCTACATAGAGGAGATAATGTCAACATCTAAGGGTGATTGGTGGCTCACACCTGAAATCTTAAAACACATGGCTAGAGCAGAATTGCAGCATATTCAAGGACAGCAAAGGCTACAGAGCATAACACTGAATGATACCAACGATACATACATACAAACATACATCTACACAGCACTGAACAGTTTCAAAATAACTCCTGAGTGTTAGTTTCTCTGGCTGTCAGGAAGCCTGAGCAATCCTCACCACTGCCTAACCCAGATGTGGTGGCGCATGCTCACCTGTGACCACCGCATAACCGAGGTGTGGTGGCGCATGCTCACCTGTGACCACCACATAACCCAGGTGTGGTGGCACATGCTCACCTGTGACCAATGCATAACCCAGGTGTGGTGGCGCATGCACAACTGTGACCCTAGCACTTGGGAAGTGAAGGCAGGAGAATCTGAAGTTCAAGGGGATCCTGGACTATAGCTTGGGGTAGGTAAGAATATAAAAGAAGAAAATACATAGGAATAAGCCCAGCCAAAGACTCAAACATTTGTATCTTAAAAACAGCAAAATTCTGCTAAAAGGAAGATACAAACACGAGGAAACATCTGGTAAAGCGCCAGCAGGACCAGATAATCTGCACACTCAATGTGATGTCTATGAAAATCTTCCTTTTCAGAGCAGAAAGACATCCTCAAATTTATATAGAATTTAAGAACCCCCTAAATAGTCAAAACATTTCTGGAAGAGAGAAAAGATCCACATTTCCTGCTAAAATGTATTATATAACTGGGTTCAGCTTAATGGTACTTTCTCTGCCAGGTGTAAGACCCTTGGTTTCAGCAACACATAAAAGGAAAGAAAACAATTACAAAGCTATCCATGATAAAGAGGCTACTATCCAGAATATACAGACGACTACAACAACCCAACCATGAGAAATCGGATGGCTGAAAAATGAAGGAAGCAGGGTTTCGGGGGCAGTGGTGGTGGCAGCTCAGTCAGTAGCGAAGTACCTGCCAATAATCACAAGCATGAGGACCTGAGCTGAATCCCAGAACGCACATAAAAATCAAACATGGCAGTGTCCACTTCTAATCCAGCACCAGGAAGCTGGAGACAGGCAGAAGCCCAGTTTATGGATCAGCCACCCTCGCCTAATCAGGGAAAAACAGGTTCTAGGTAAGAGAGCCTGTTTCAACAAAAGGTGGACGGTTCCCAAGGAAAAATACCCCAAACCCATGTAGACACGCGTGCATGCACACACAGACTGAAACAGGCATGGCAGTACATGCTTATAAACCCAGCTCCTGGCGGGGAAAGTGGCAGAAATTTGAAGTGATTCCAGGCCATCCTAGCCGACCTAGTAAGGTCCTGCCTTTTTTCCCCCCAGAAAAAAAACAGTGTGTGCGTGTGGGATGCATGAGTACAGAAGTCATGTTTTAAGAGAGGAAACAAAAATGTCCACCATCACTATTCAGAAACACAAACAACACAATGGGATTCACCTTACACTTATTAAGATGGCTACTACCCAAAACAAAAACATCGTTATCAAAAACCACTCAAAACAGAAAGTAACAATGCTGGTAAAAAGCAGAAAAATTAGAACTTTGTGCACTGTTAGTGAGAACATAAAACAGTGAAACTACAACAAAACATGATGCAGCAATTCCATTACTGGGTACTTCCGTCTTCAAAAACTGCAACAGGGGCACAGGCAAACTGTGCATAGCAGCAGAGAGGGAGAAGGCACTGCAAGTGTACACGTGGAGACAGTGTCCAGCTACAGGGGCCTCCTTCACCCAGGGTCTCACTTTCCAGAAATAGGGAATCCAGAAATACATCAAGCTGTGACAGTTCTGGTGCCGTGTGAAAACTGCAGGACATGCAGGAGAACTCGAGTTCTTAGGGAGTCCAGGTGCTAGTCACAATTTTAAGCTTCTCCTACAGAATCTCGGACTGCATTCTTAAAGATTAAAAGACTACTGAGTGTTTCTTCTCATGAGGCATTTTAAGAAGACAAATTCACAACAACAATGTAAAATGGGAGGATTAAGCATCAAGGAGAATTTTTGTTTAACAGGTATAGTTTCAATTTTGCAAGCTGACTAAGTTCTGGAGATTGATGACAAACGAACATAGTTACCTCTACTGAAACGTGCACCTAAAGCCAGTAAGTTGTTAAAACTGGTTTTGGGGGATGGGATAAGGGTGGAGTTTCATTATTGAAGCTCAGGCTTGATTTAACATTATGAATCCTCTCTTAGCCCATAGAAGACTGAGATTAAAGACATGGACCACCATGCCTAGCTAAAGCTGGTAGAGTTTATGTGATTCTTATTTTTAGCTTTATTTATTTATTATGCATACAGTGTCCTGTCTGCACGTATGCCTACGGGCCAGAAGAGGGCACCAGATCTCATTACAGATGGTTATGAGATACCATGCAGGGGCTGGGAATTGAACTCAGGACCTCTGGAAGAGCAGCCAGTGCTCTTATCCTCTGAACCTGAGTTTATATGATTCTACATTATTAAGATAAAAATGCCAGGTGCATGGTGGTGCTCACCTTTAATCCCAGCATTTAGGAGGCAGAGACAGGCTGATCTCTAAGTTTGAGGTTAGCCTGGTCTACAGAGTTCCAGAACAGCAGAAGCTACATAGTAAGACCCTGTCGCAAGAAGGGAAGGTAAGAGGAAAGAAAAGAAAGTAAGAAAGGAAAATAAAATTTCAAAGTGTTTGTGATAAGCCAGGTGTGGTGACTCAACTATAATTCCAACACTTAGCACACTGAAGCAGGAGGATTAAATGTTCTAGGCTAGTCTGGGTTGCACAGTAAGATCCTATCTCCAAGAAGAAAGAGGGATGGGGAAATGGGGGGAGGGGGAGAAAGGAAGGAGGAAGAGACACGGAGAGGGGAGAGGAGTGGAGAGGAGAGAAGGGGAGCTTCCTAGCTTTGGCCACTATGGTTCCTTTGCCACAAAGGACTATATTTTCTAGGGCTATAAGACAGAACAAAGCCTGTCTCTCCTTGGGGAGGGGACAACACATTAGCCAAGAGGGAGTTCTTAGACTGGGAAGAACTAAATGGTCAGAAATGAGCTGACTGTTGAGGAAAATAGCTCTGCCTGTGTATGGCACAGCAGGGCTCGTCCTGAGTCATCTCGGCCGTCTGCAGCAGCACAGCTTCAGCTACGTAGCAGGGGACACTAACCTGAAGGTTCTGCACTCGAGATCTTCACTGCAGTTTGATTTTCGGCCACTTTATCTGTTACAGCAGCTGATGGGGTGTTTGGAACAACTTGATGTTTCTTGAGGGGAGTATTCTGACAGTGAATATCCTGCAAAAGGCAAACGGAGAGGTAAATTCTATTTCTCAGAATTATAAATCTTAGTTTATTAAATGAAATAGAACTATTATTAAATAACATTCTATATGTTTTTGAGTATAAAAGAAATAATATACTATTAAAAGGGTCCAGGACAGTGTTAATAGCTTCCCTGGTGTAAGACTTCCATTATTTAAAATATTTTATAAGACTAGGAAGTGAAAAAGAATGAAAATTCACATCAGATCTCAGTTATACACAAACCAACTAAAGTGAAGGTAACACAAAAACAATTTCCCCTGTCTTTTTCTCTACTGAGACAGTTCTGACATGAAGATTCTATTTAAACATCATTTACTCAAAGTATAAAATTCCAAAACAAAACAAGGATAAAAGTAGATCCGAAAATAAAGAAGAAAAGCATGCGTTGTTTTACTGTCTCAATACTGGACTTTCTGATGGACAGGCTTAGTTACTACTGCCCAGTCCACTGCTAACTCCCCTCAGTGGAGACAGTTTATGATGGCCAGGCATGGTGGCACACATCTATAACTCCAGGCCGGCCTGGTCTACACAGTGAGTCAATGACTGTGAGAAGGATGGAAACAATAAAACACCTACAACAGACTTCTCACCCGAGCGTGACAACACGAGAACCGCACCTCTGCAGTGTCTTATTAACCCTCGTTCAAAGCTATTACTCCAAGATTGGCCCCCAGAATTTAGTGCGCTCCATGACCACAGGCCACACCAGCAACAACCTGGAGTTTCTTAGCATCATTAAGAGTCTTCTCTGAACTCACAAGTGCTTCTCTAGTTTAAGGCCTGCATCAACAAGGGGCCACCAGGGCTATCCAAGCAACCTCTCAGCTGCATCAAAATGTCAGCTCCAAAACCCTTTGCCAACACTCCAATTTGGCCTCCCCTGAAAATGGTTTGTGCTTCTCCATACACCCAATCCTGACTGTGCCTCCAATCTCCCCAACACTCTCTCCCCTCTGGTCAGCTGATGCTCTTCTTCCTTGATTCTACTTACTTTCTTATCCCTCACCTCCACCCAGGGTGGACCTCAACCTCAGAACTCTTCACTGCAACCACTTCCTCACCAATGACATCATAGTGTTCATACCACCAACCTTCCAGACCTCTTGTTTGGAAAAACCCTAACCCAGGACTGACCAAAATTCTTCAAATCAACACCTAGACTCTTGGGCTATTCCTATGCAATATTGTTATAGTACACATGTATACTCTTACAGTTCTGGTGGTTTGAATAAAAAATGTCCCCTACAGTTCATGTATTTGAACATGTGGCTGCCAGCTGGAGGTGTTATTTGGGGAGGTTTTGGAACCTTTTGAATATGGAGTCATGCTGGAGGGAAGTATATCACGGGAATGGGTTTTGATGGTTTATAGCCTTACCCTACTTCCTGTTCTGTTTTCTGTTTGTAGATGAAAGGATGGCCAGCCGGTTCCTGCCTCTATGCTTCATTGATTGTTACCATCATTTCCCACCATTGTTGACTCTACCTCTGGAACACTATGCTAAAACAAACCCTTTCTTCCCTAAGTGGCTTCTGTCACGGTGTTTATCACAGCAGCAGAAAAGTCACCAACACATGCCCACCCTAGTCTCAATAGAAAAGTCCCTGACACATGGCCACCTGAATCTCAACAGAAAAGTCCCTGACACATGGCCACCCAAGTCTCAACTCTACTATCTTGGTCCCTTCTGGTTCTCAGTTAGCCTCTCTTCCCTTCAAGTATTTCCCCTGCCATGCTCTAGTCAAAGGCAGAGAAGTGAGCACCTCCCTTTCCTAGAAATAAACACAACAGCCACTAACAGACCCTCAGACCTGGCCAGCAGTGCACCAGACATCAGGGCCAGCAGTTTCCACTTGCTTTTTCACAAACGGTTCCCTCCCTCATCCTACACCCATCAGCTCCTTTCCCTTCACCATAACTTATTAACTTAACTCCTTTCTATCAATGCTAAAATATTCCTAAATCACAGAAAACAAAACACAACAATCAAACACACTTTGCCTTTTTATACCAAGGCACCACCTCCTTTCTCCCTCCCATTTAGACAGAGCTTCTAGCAACTGCCTATACTGGCTCTGCTCTCTTCCCCCTGCCAGCCCTCCTCATGCCTGCATTCTTCACCTTACACATCACAGCAGACTTGAAACCTCAGCACGCACAAACACCAAACAGACAAATCTCAAGTGGACTCATTTAAACCCTCAGGGGATAAACTAACCCTTCCTTCTCAAAAAGGTTTGTCTCCCTGGACTTTTATGACACTCCTGTATTTTCCACCCATGATTTTGCCTACTCCTTTTGTGATAAACAAATGGGTTTCTGGGGAAGGAAAGCTCTGAACTCCCTGTTAGTATCATGTTCTTAAGTTTGGCCACATGCATAAGTGCTGCTATCTCAGAGGCTCCCAAGGAATTATTTACTACAACATAATCTAAAGATTCCTGACTCCAGGGACAGGAGAAAACTGTTAGGAATCTGGTACTATGGTACAATGCCAAACGTTGCTAAGAAGTCTAGTTAAATATCTGAAACCAGTCAAAGAAAATCATGGATGAACTTGAGAAAAGGAGAGGGAAGAGAAAAGAAAATTGGAACACTGTCACACTGGCTGACAGGCAGAAAGATTGGTAACAGATTAGAAAATATTAACTGGATCTATATATCCAAGTGTGACTGTGTCTGTTTAAGGAGGGACTTATTGAAGACTAACTAGAATAAAGAAACAATTAGAAGGCATATGGAACCTGAAAAGGTTGCAGACACTAAAGGCATCATATGTGGATGTGCTGGGTAGTTTTTGGTCAACTTGACACAAGTCAGGGTCATCTTGGAAGACTGGCTGACAGGCAAGTCTGTGAGGCATTTTCTTGATTAATAATTGATGCGAAAGTGTCTACCCCACTGTGGGTGGTGTCATCCCTGGGCAGGTTGAGCAAGTAATGAAGAGCATGCCAGTAAGTAGCCTTCCTCCATGTTCTCTGCTTAAGTTCCTACTTTCAATTTCTGCCTGGACTTTTTTTCCATAATGGACTATAAGATGTAAGCCCAAATAAACCCCTCTTTCCCCAAGCTGTTTTTAGTCAGAGCATTATCACAATAGAGAAACAAACTAGAACAGTAGAAAACTTAAATAGTCACCAAGGAGAATCATAGATTCTTAAGAAGTATTTAAAATCAGCATCTAAGTAGAGCACTAAGACTTTCTGTGAGGTCAGTGAGAAAGCTGTAGAGTGGGATGGAAATGGAAACAACAAGGAAAGGAGTTATTTACACCTAAGCACCAGGAAAGGGAAAGAGTAAGGTCATTGGAAAGAAGGTGTTTAAAATCGATTTTACGAAGCTGGGCACAGTGACTCACACCTATAATCCAAGAACTTGAAAGGCTGAAACAAGAGGATTACTTAGTTTGTAACAGTCTAAGCTAGATCTAGAGACCATCCTCTCAAATCCAAAAACTTAAAAACTACTATTACTTTAGTACATCAGGGACTTTTATATTTCTTGTTCACATTACCTTTTGGGTTTCTAGCTGTTTGCTTCTTGACTTTTCATCCTTTTCTGCACTCCATAAACTGCCCTTGTCAAATCGACCACGAAGACATGCTAGTTCTTTTTCACGTTCCTAAACCCGTTAGATAAGGCAGTATTTTACACAAGAGCCAACAGCATTTAAGAATATCCAAATACTAGTAAAACATTTCTTAAAAGCATGGTAGCATACAACTGTAGTCCGAGCACTTGGGAGGTGGAGGCAGCAGGAGCAGCTCAAGATGATCCTCAGTTATAGAGCTAGTTAAAGATCAGCTAGAACTTCATAAGGGCTTATCAAAGGAAGAGTTAAAAAATCATTTTTCTTGCTGGCGATGGTGGCACTCGGGAGGTAGAGGCAGATGGATCTCCATGGGTTCAAGTCCAGCCTGTTTTACAGACCGAGTTACAGGACAGCCAACGCTACACAAAGAAACTCTGTCTCAAAAAAAAAAAAATTGTACTCAGTTATAAAATATAAAGACTCATAACAGGGCTGGCAGGGGGAAGAGAGCAGAGCCAGTATAGGCAGTTGCTAGAAGTTCTGTCTAAATGGGAGGGAGAAAGGAGGTGGTGCCTTGGTATAACAAGGCAAAGTGTGTTTGAATTGTTGTGTTTTGTTTTCTGTGACTTAGGAATATTTTAGCATTGATAGAAAGGAGTTAATAATGATATAGTTTTTCATGTCCAATTTGCAGTAAAAGGTACAGTGAGCCGAAGTGTTGCTTATTAAAGTCAGGGATAGTGATCAAATCTATAATCCCAGCACATGGAAAGCTGAGGTAGAAGGACTACCAAGAACATAGGGCTAGCCTGGGCTGCCTAGTGAATTCCAAGGTAGCCTAGGCTACAGAACGAGTTATGTCTTATAACTAGAGCATGTCCTCAAAAGGATTCTCTCTAGCTCAGCCAAAAAGACCCATATTTGGGCTGGAAAGATGGCTCAGTGGGTAAGAGCACTGCCTGCTTTTACAGAGGACCCAGGTTCAGTTCCAATAACTCAAAGGAGGCTCACAACCATCCCAGTTCCAGGGGATCTGGTAACCTCTTCTGGCCTCTGCAGGCACTGCATGTATGTGGTGCACACACATACATGCAGGCAAAAAACCCTGACACTTAAAATAAGCACATCTTTTTTTAAAGAGACTCATATTTATTTCTTAGGTTCCATGCTGAGGTCATAGAATAAGAATTAATGCAGAAACCCTTACCTGTTTGAGCTGCTGTGCTACATGGGTAGTAGAAGAACATGTGTTTTGCTTGAATAACCTTTCCTGGATGGCCTTTGTATTTGGAGTGATATTGGGGGTTCTATGGGATGCTCTGTAACTTGGACTTTCTTTGCTGTGTTCTTGACAACGCTCTCCAAAGCGTTCCAGGAAAGGCTTAATTCCTCTTCCTCCTATAAAAACATAGTTTTGAAATCTAGTCAAAAAACTAGCAATTATCATATCCAAGGCAAAATTCTAAAATCCATTAGGTACAAAATGCTTTGTTTCTAGAAATAGTCATTCAAAAAAGAAACTAAAATTGTTCAAAGAATCTATTAATAACATGCTCTAAATTTTTTAATTATATGTATGTATGTGTCTCTGTATAGTGGTGCCCATTAGTAGAAGTACCAACATAAATAAGTCAGATGTCAATTCCCCTGGAGCTGGAGTTACAGGCACTTTTGAACTGCCTGACATTAGGGCTGAGAATTGAACTCAATTTGCTCTGAAACAGCTGTACATATCATCTTAAATGATGAGTCATCTCTTCAGCCCCTATGTCCTAAAATGTATAGGATTTAGTTAATTAAAAAGGGGGGAAGGGGACGAGAAGCTGGCTTAGCTGTTAAAAGTGCTTGCCGCAAAGCCCTGAGAGCCTGCATTGATCCTCAGAATCCTTATAGATTTAGTGGTTCACTAAAACCATTCATCTGAAATCCCAGACTCAGCACTCTACAGTCAAATGGGAGGAGAAATGGCTGGAAATTCAAGAGCACAACAGAGAAATAAACAAGAGGCCCAGCCTAAAAATAACACGATAAAAAGCAACTCCAAAGCCAGGCGGTGGTGGCACACGCCTTTAATCCCAGTACTCGGGAGGCAGAGGCAGGTGGATTTCTGTGAATTCGAGGCCAGCCTGGTCTACAAAAGCTAGTTCCAGGACAGGCTCTAAAACTACAGTGAAACCCTGTCTCTAAAAAACAAAAACAAAAAAAGAAAGCAACTCCAGACAGCTGTCCTCTGACACTCATGCAGGCCACAGCATTCAAATAGGCACATAAATTATTTCTTTTTATAAATTATGAGTTACATAACTAATAGTCGTAAAAGACTGCTATGTGAAACAGTACAAAGTACACACACACACACACACACACACAAACACACCTGTTGCAGAATATTATTTTAAAAAGAGGACAACACATCGCTTCTCAGCCTTTTGGCTAAGATCAAGTGTAAAAGAGAACAACACACACACTTATATATATTGCCACCTCTACCAAAAGGTTGTTATTTAAAGTAGAGTTAATATATTGGAGGCTGACAACACTTTCTTGCGACAGACATGAAAGTAAAGACTGAAAGAAGTCACAGGAAAGAAATACACAGATGTGGCTATTATAATAAACTTTATTTGAAGAGGAAACGAAAACAAACAGCAGAATTCAACATATGGCCATAGTTTGAGGACTACGTGTCTTTTACTGCCACTTCAGGTATATATTTTTAATCCCAGCACGTGGGAAGTAGAGGCAGGTGGATCTGAGTCTGAGGGACAGCCAGGACTGTTACACAGAAAAACCTTGTCTTGAAAACCAAAACCAACCAACCAACCAAAAATCATTGTGACTCCAAAGGATCCTGTAATTCTTTCTTTTCTGTTGTCACTGTCGTCATCACCCCGCCTGCAGCTTCGTGAGTGCTGGACATTAGACCCAGAGCCTGTGCATCCAAGAGCTCTACCATTGACCTCCCCATTTCTAATCCTCATCTTAGTGCATCTAGAAATTGTCAGTGGCTTTCTGCTTACTCTACTTGAGAAAGACTGTGTTTTCAGGAAGTTAAACACAGGCTAGGGATATGGCAGTTGGTAGAATATACACTCAAAGGGCACAAAGTCCCATTGTTTAATCCCCAGCACTGCATAAACTGGGCATGGGGGTGCATGCCTGCAATAAGAAGATCAAAAGTCCAAAATCATCCTTACCTACAGAGTAAGCTTAGGGCAAGTCTGGAGCACATTAGCTCCTGTGTCAAAAAAAGAAATACACTCAAAAAAAGGTGGGGAGTGGACAGGGAGATGGCTCAGTAGGTAAGACCATTTGCCCTGCAAGCATGAGGACCTGAATTTAAATCCTCAGCATCTGTGTGAAAAAAGACAGGTACAAATTTATATGCTTGTACCCTAGCCTTGGAAGGTAGAGATATATGGTTCCTGGGTGCTCACTGGCTAGCTAGCCTGGCTAAATGGAGTTTTCAGTTTAATGGGAGATCCTGTCTCATGAGAGGAAGACTAACAATGCCCTCCTCTCACTTCCACATGTGCATGCAGGCACTCCAATATACTCAGACGTATGCATCACACACAAAGTTACACAGTGCACTGCAAAGTCTGTCACCATGTATTTTATGCTGTTTTAGTCTTCTGTTTCTCAGTCAATAAGTCACGAGATAAATATAGCATTTTATAGAACATCAGCTTACTACTATAAGAAATACAAACTTTACTTATATATACAAAGTATACATATATGTAAATATAATGGGCATGCAATATTCTATATGCACACTAGTGTCTCTAGTGGTGGGGTGGAGCAGAGACAAGCGGATCCTAGGAGTTTGATAGCCCCCACAGCTTAGCCAAGGTAGGATTAGATTTACTCTCGTCAGAGTAAAGACTGGAAAGTAGTGTTCTACATCCTGAAGACTGGATCTCCACTAGTCCCCCAAGATGTAGGTTCTATTTTATGTGCTTTACTAGATCAGAAAACAGAGGTAGCCTGATCATCCTGTGTGAACTGTTGCAACATAAGAGAGATTAAATGCTTCTTACCAGCAAACAGCTAGTGTTCTCTAATGAATATGTTTTCTATCAGAGCCCAGTAAGAAAGCTTCAATTCAGTGGTTGGGAAGATAAAACATCATTATGTCAAGGTCATCTTTGTAGGCATAGCAATTCCCCAGACCCTGGAGACTATGGGGATCTACAGATGGAGACCAGCCTGGGCTACTGTAAGTCCCAGGCCAGCCTGAGATACATATAAAGATCTTGGCTCACAAACTGGAAAACAATAAGTGAACATAAAATAAAACGTTGAAAATGAGCATACGTAACCTGGTGTTGCAGGTTTGTCTCTGGGTTGGGACTGCAGACAAACGTCCCTGTTTGCTTCCTCTTTGGTCTGAACTGCCTGGGGTAATGCTGCTTTCTCCCTTGGCTTCAATGCCTCTGTTTTCAGAGGACTAACGCTTCTGTGAAGTATCTCAGGAATTTGGGCCTCACAGCTCTTAGTACTGGGGGTGAGAGTCTCAGATTTCACAGGGGAAGAGGTAGCTTTCTGAAACACAGGGTAAACAGCAATTCTATCATAGTTAGAGCCACAAACAACTCAAGACCCACTTCCTTGGCAGCCACTAAACAACTCACCAAAAATACTGTTCTTCTGGTCTCTAATATATCATACTAACTTGAATGTTTTTTAATCAGCTTATAAAATGCTGCTGTTTAAATTGTAGGCAATTTAGTCTCACAATATATTGACATCTAAGTAGATATCAGAGGTAGGGTCACTCACAGTTTTATTAGAAAAATTTCAAATTATTGGATTAGTACTTTTATTAAACTTTCAAATTATGTTACATCAAATTATTTTTAACTAAATTAATATCAATTCAATAAGATATGACTTGAGTATTCATGACTCAAAAGTACTTGGGATAGAAGTGTTTAAGACTTTGAATTTCTTTTTAAAATATTTAACAATGAAGTATCATTGGGATGGGACCCAAGCTTAAAGACATAATTAAATTCTGTTACATATATACCTTAGATAATGCTTGGAAACAATTTTAGATTATCTTAAAAATAAATATTTCGCTGGGCGGTAGTGGCGCACGCCTTTAATCCCAGCACTCGGGAGGCAGAGGCAGGTGGATCTCTGTGAGTTCGAGGCCAGCCTGGTCTACAAGAGCTAGTTCCAGGGCAGGCTCCAAAACTACAGAGAAACCCTGTCTCAAAAAACCAAACAAACTCAAACAAAACAATACTTTCAGCCTAGCAGTGGTGGTGCACACCTTTAATCCCAGCATTTGGGAGGCCGAGGCAGGTAGATTTCTGAGTTTAGGGTCAGCCTGGTCTACAGAATGAGTTCCATGACAGCTAGGGCTACACAGAGAAACCCTGTCTCAAAACACCAGAAAAGATAAAAAAAAATTTTTTTTCATGCAGAAAGGGTGGGAGCACAGCTCAATGAAACAGTGTTTGCTCAGCATTCAGGAAGCTTTGGGTTCAATTCCCAGTATCACAAATAACAAAATGCATGAAATGAAGCAGTTTCTCGTGGAACTTCCCACTTGTAGTATCAAGCACTCAGAAGGCTTCATTCAGAATTTTGAATCACTTTGGAATTGAATATTTGAGATTAGAACTGTTCAAACACTGAATCATAGACTTAAAAGTTGATGATAAAAATAACTAGGATTCAGCCAGGAACTATGCTATGTATTTTAAGCAGATCAACTTAATTTTCTAATAACCCCGTACGCTGATTTTATATAATAAAGAAAATAAGCTTTTACAATATTAAATAACTTGTACCTAGTCACATTTCTCACTATATTTCAGAGGTGGGATTGAAGGCAGGTTGATCCAAAACTGTCTACACTGACAGGTCATCTTCAGCAATAATATCAACACTCTTTTTCCTTTTTGTTAAATTACTGAGATAACATTACATGCATAAAGTAAAAGTTCCAAACACTTCAAGTGTTAAATAGAGAAAATGTCACTGCTACATTCCTGTTTGTCAATGGGCCTTCCTTGGAGGCAACTACAAATACAGGGTTATACTCTCTACCCAGAAATAGTCAGTATTTCATATTTATACATACTTATAGAGGTATTTTAATGGAGGGATTAATTTTAGTTTTTCCCCAAATGGCCCCAAAGAGGCCCCATCATATTCCATTATTATATACTCTTGATTTTAAAAATTTAATTAATATAATTTCAGTCACAAAATGTTAATTTTAATGTTAATGTTAATCTATCTTAATTACCAAATTTATAGTTTTCACTTTTTATAAAACATTCAAAAAACACATAAATATGCAGGACATATACTACATAATACATAGTAATATTACTATTTATAACAAAAGTTTCAAAAGACCAAAATGGTATTGACTCACCACAGAGCTGGACGCCGAGGCTTTAAGCAATGATCTATCGGCAGCACTTGAAGATGGAGCTTTACTGACAGAGGCATTGCAATCCTTTTGGGAACAGCATGTAGCTTCCTGTTGAACACTGCTACTATTGATGCTAGCAGATGCTCCACTTGCAGAGGAAGATTTGGATAAACAAGTGGTACCAGGCTGTTCTTGTACACTATTTTGCTTTGCAGATGAGTGGCTTACATCATCTTCCCAGGAGCAAATCGTCGCAGCAAGGTTGGCCAGACGGCCCCTTCTCCCAACTGGGGTAGTTGAGGCATTTGAAAGGGGTGGCTTGGAAGGAGAAGCAGCCTTTTCCTCAGATGGCATTGGTGAGAAGTGTGAGCCTTCCGATACATCATCTGAAAATGTTTTCAGATAAATCAAAAGCCATATTCAACAGTTTTTTATGTATAATCACACATTCAACTCGTACAGAATTTTTAAGGGATTAATTGCATGCATGAAATATTACATTACTTAAATGTGACATGTTTTTCAAATCAAATTGTACTTAATCCAAATTGAAACACTCTTTTTTTAATAAATATTTATTTTTTAAATATTTATTTATTTATTATGTATACAATATTCTGTCTGTGTGTATGCCCGCAGGCCAGAAGAGGACACCAGACCTCGTTACAGATGGTTGTGAGCCACCATGTGGTTGCCGGGAATTGAACTCAGGACCTTTGGAAGAGCAGGCAGTGCTCTTAACCACTGAGTGTTTCCAGCCCCGAAACACTTATAACATGTACTTTTTTGGGTTATTTATTTATTTATTTTTTAATAGGTTATGGATGCTATAAAATACCAGTGTAGGGCTGGGTGCTAGGGTTATAGCTCCATGGACAAAGTGCCTGTAATTCAAGCATGGGAAGCTGATTTTGAATCTTGTCAACCTATGTAAAGATGGACACAACAGTGAGAACACATGTGCTGAGGCACACATATGTATCATATACAAACAAATGAAATATTTTACAATTTAAAGATACTATTGTATATTTCACGTTTAATTCTTTGAGTTATAACCTACAGAATCCTTTTGTTTTAAAAATTGAAGTCGACCAATGATGCCCAACATAAAGCTCTAAGATAATAGAGGTGTCTACACCTACATACATACGTAGCGCTCAACACGTGTGTAAGGACTGAAATGTGCCTAGGGGAACTGAGAAATGGAACCCAATTTTAATTAATTTAAATAAAGGTTACTTATGGTAAATGGCTGTTAGGATAGCATAGAGTTGAACAATTCAGTATTTCATGTGTAACAAATCTCAGCTAGTAATACCTGATGAAGGATCTAGGCCTGTATGTTCAAAAACCTTGTATATAAGGAAACCAAGGTTTGGGGCAAATCATTCTCTATATATGCAATTAAGAGAGAGACACCCCAAACCCCATCCTCCTTCTGCCCAAGCTTCTACCCCGGCCTCACCCCTCTAAAACTCCACCCCTCTAAAACCTCAGGAATCTTGTTTCAAAAGGTTCTTCCTCCTTATAAACTCTTTTTATATAAATATGTGCTGAAATAAGTTCATTTTACTTAAAAACAAGGGGTGATAAAATGGCTCAGTGGGTATAGATTAGTGGTTCTCAAGCTGTGGGTCTCGACCTCATTGGGGTCACCTAAAACCTTTCACAGTGGTCACCTAAAACCATCTGCATTATCAGATACTTACATTATGATTCATAACAGTAGCAAAATTAGAATTAAGAAGTAGCAACGAAAATAATTTTCTGGTTGGGGGCCACCACAACATGAGGAAGTGTAAGAGCCTCAGCGTTAAGAAGGTTGAGAACCACTGTAACAATCTGAGTTCCATTTCCCAGACCACATGGTGGCAGGAGAGAATTGAATCCTGTAAGTTGTCCTCTGACTCCCCATGAATGCTACCACCCCTACACTTACAAAAATAAAACCTTTAAAATAAACAAACAAACAAATAAATAAATAAAGGCGGGGCAGGAAGACGCCTCAAACTTTCTGTTGTCCAATACTACTCAAAATCTCAGTTAAAATGCATAGTAAACTCGGGAGGCAGAGGCAGGCGGATCTCTGTGAGTTTGAGGCCAGCCTGGTCTAGAAAAGCTAGTTCTAGGGCAGGAACCAAAAAGCTACAGAGAAACCCTGTCTCGAAAATTAAAAAAAAAAAAAAAAAAAAAGCATAGTAATGAGGAGCTGGAGAAATGGCTCAGGGTTAAGAGTACCTACAGTGGCCAGGTGATGGTGGCGCACGCCTTTAATCCCAGCACTCGGGAGGCAGAGGCAGGCGGATCTCTGTGAGTTCAAGACCAGCCTGGTCTACAGAGCTAGTTCCAGGACAGGCTCCAAAGCCACAGAGAAATCCCGTCTTGAAAAACCAAAAAAAAAAAAAAAAAGAGTACTTACAGTGCAATTACAAGAACTGTTATTCAGACCCCAACACCATAGAACAAGCTGGGATCCTGCAACCCTGTAACTCTGGCTCTCTCTCTGACGGACCCACTGCCCTCCTCCACATAGACACAGATGTGCAGCTGTATGCATGTATACACTCAAGCAGACACATATGCACACAAGCATACATGGACTAAAATAAATGTTCTTTTAAATTTTTGGTGCAGGGGCTGTTTGGTTCAGCAATTAATAGTATTTGCTGTTCTCCCAGAAAACCTGGGTTCAGTTCCCAATAACCACATGGCAGCTTTCAACAGTCCCTGGGGCTCTGACACCCTTCCCTGGGCTCAACAGGCCAGGCATACACGGTGTATACTTAGTTACATACTGGAAAACCCATAACTTCTTTACATTAAAAATGAAGCTTATCAATCTATTCATATTGCTTTGTCTTAGTTCTGGCCATGCACCCTAATTAAAGGGTTTTATAAGAGACAAAAGCACACCTTGAGTTCCCCATACTTTTGAGATGCTAATCTAAAGTTTTTCTTATCTATATTTTCTCTGGACCTCAGTTCCTTTCCAAATACGGGTATTTATGGGAAGCCATTTCAAGGATTTTACCCAACAAGTCAAGGAATCCATACAGTTAGTGACAAAAATAGCACTGTACAGAACCACTAACTGGCCTGCAGGGAAGGGTCACTCATTTACCCTTTCCCAGACTGTGGCATGAGACTGTGCTTTAGAAACCTTTCTTCCCTACCAAGGAGCACTGCACACCTTAGTCTCTAATTTGATAAGTGAACCGAAGAATAGGATTCCAGAATATAGAGCTGAGGGTCAGTACTTTTTCACTGCAAATGGAAAGTAATTCAGTACTAGGTGAAGTTTCTGTATTAGTTCAAGAACCTCAAGATCTACTTCGGTGAGAATGTTTCATTTTCATTCATTTTTTATGAATATATTCCTGGCATATCAATTATCTAGAAGCAAAGAACACACATACAGATAAAACAAAAGCACTTACCTTTCATGCTACTCCAGGCTGGCCTCAAATTTATAAACCTCCTGTATCAGCCTCCCAGATGCTGGGATTAAAAACAAGAACCCCCACATCCAGCTACAAGCTGAATCTTACCAAAAGAAATTCAAGGACCACCCATATCATTTAATACCTGCTATATCACTATCCCAATGGCGCCGTTGCTCAGCAAGTTTTTGCATTCGAGTTTTAACAGAGGAGGCGGCAGATGCTTCTGATCTTGAGTTCAGTCCTCTGCCCATGCTGAGCAGCGATGTTGGGGCAGCCACGGAATCACTGATGGCAGCTGGTGCTGGGGGCTGCGCCTGAGGGGGTTCAGGCCTTGGAGAACAAGGTTTTGCAGCAGCTGGCTCAACAGGTTCTTTATTTTCCAAGTCCAAAACTTCAACTTCAATTTTGTCAGAACATCGTTTTTTTGATGGTGATGGTTTCGTACAAGATTTCTCTAGATTCAAAAGAACAACAAAAACCCACACTGAAATCCTGCAGTTTCACAGTCTGAAAACTAGGTGGGTACTTACTAATGAGGGATCAGACTTCTCTAATACTTGAGCTACTTCTGTTATAAGAAAAATGCAAAAACCTATCTTTTATTAACTTTGAAATTAGGCAAAAAAAAAAAAAACAACCCACCTTTTTTTGGGCAAACATGTCATTTTTTTCTGTTAAAACCCTCAACGAAAATAAATGTAAACATCGTCAAGATGCACACATAAGATTGTATAGAGTTTTAAGATAACAGGAACAAACAGCACACACACAAGAATACCAAGTACTCTAAAGAACTTTAAGGATCTCATAGCTCAATCACCTTATTTTAAGGGAAGAAAAATCAAGCCTGGAGAAACTAAGTTGTAGAAAACAGGCTTTCTGATTTGTTTGTTTTTTTGTTTGTGAAACAACCTTTCACTGACAATAGCTAAAGTAAGGCAGAAGGGGAGAGAAGTGGGTCTGAGGGCAAATGAACTATCTGTTCTACAGCAAGCAAACAAACCAGCACAAATATTTAGCGTCTCATCACTGAAACTTCTATGGCCATCTGTACGGGATGTGAGAGATCCTAAGGGCATCATTCAAAACAAGGCTTCACTTTACCCAGGACACGGCCTCACTACACCTCTCGGGAAGAGTATGTGGAGGGGATGTGTACGCGTGCTCTTCTGTGCATGGCACAGGCCTGTGCAGGTGCACATGCAGGTCAGTCAGGTTGAAATGGGTGTCTTCCTCCACGTGCTTTATCTTATCACTGTAGCTGGAAGCAGGATCTCTCTCTTGAACTCAGAGCTCATCAGTTCAGCTAAACTAGATGTCCAGTTTGCCGTGACAACCCTGTCCCCACCTCCTGTGTCCTTGCCATGTTCCAGAATTTACATGAGTGCTGGGAATTCAAACTCCTGTCCTTACAACTGTGCTTCAAGTACTTTATCCACTGACTCATCTTCCCAGTCAAGAACATTAATATTTTAAACTAGAATGAAAGGCCAGTGAGATGGTTCAGTGGGTAAACAAGCTTGCTGCACATTCCTGGTAACCTGAGTTTGCTGTCCAGAACCCACACGAAAGGTGAAGAGAGGAAACCAATCTAAGGAATAGGCCTATGGTCTGTCTCCATACACGCACCAGGGCACACTTGCCCACACAGACAGCAATATATTCTTTTAAACAAACAAAAACTTGGAAGATGCCCACTGGAAACATGGTCCAGCGGCTAAGAGAACTCCGTTCTTCCTTCCAGAGAACCCAGAACCCACATGGCAGCTACCAATTGTCTAGAACTCCAGCTCCAGGGGTTTTAGTGCCTTCTTCTAGTCTCCACAGGCACTGCACACATATGCTACACAGACACGCATACAGGTAAAACAGTTATACAAATAAAATGAAGATAAGTAAATCTCCAAAAAAAGTTTTAAATTTTTTAAAGTTAAGAGCATGAGTTTCATAGACACCAAAGTTCTCTGTTCTGGCTTCTGGCAGATCGGAGACCTGAGCTAACAACCTTGAAAAATAACAGAAGGCTGCCCTGGCCCCATTGGCTGTTGCATTTGTCTTCTAAAGACGGGTTCTTATATGTACATAATAAAATGTTTGGGGCTCATATCCTCCAAAATCCATGACATTTTTAGCCCTTCCCCACCCCTGCCCAGTCTTACCTTCACCCCCTGAGAGGGACTGCTGATTATTGGCTTCTGAAAGTGGCTCTCTGCCTCGCTTAGCATGTGCAGACCTTGCTGCTGCCGTGGGCCTCTCAGCCATTTTTCTCTGAAGATTCTCTCGTCTGGCACGGGTTCGTTCAAGCAACTTCTATATTATACCAATGTTAAAACACAAGGTTAGCTAGAGGTCCACAAAACCTTAGATGCCTGCTAAAACCAATAACTGGTATGTAGGATAACAGTCAAACACATTTCAAAGGTAAAATCCCAAATAATCAAACCAAAATTTACCAGATGAACGAGCATCTCAACATCAAAATTACGAGATTCAATCTAAATATTAACAAGCAGTATGTAAAGACACCTATCTAAGATTTAAAATGCTTCAAGTTTTTGTTCCAATCAAAAGGTATAATTTGAGACTGGGGTGATAGTTTGGTGGATAAAGTGCCTGCCGTGCAAGCTTAATTAAGGACCTAAATTCGGACCCCTAGTACCCACTTAAAGCCAAGCATGGTGGCATACATCAGGAACCACTAGGGAGGGACAAGGTCAGGATTCCTGAAACTCAGTGAAAAACCTGGCTCAAGACATAGAGTGGAGAAAGACTGAGGAAGAAAACACATCAAACCCTTGCCACCATGTGCACACGCATGCACACCTGCACACATAGCCACACAAACACACACACACAAAGGAACTCTGTATCATCATTCTTGAATCTGGGTTGGCTGGCCAGGCCTTATGATTTGCTTTGACTAATAAAATATGGCAGAAGTAACACACTGTGTGACTTTCAATGTTAAGTCCCCAAAAGGCTTGCAGTTTCTGTACTCCCTTTCTTGGACTGGCACTGAAGGGACACTAGCCCTCTTGAGCATGTGGCTCTGGCACATACTCCTCCCCCATCCCCTCTACCTTACTAAAAACCTTTAAATTACATTCCTAAAGCTAGCCACCAATGTCTATTCCCTTATTTGGCCACTTCTTCCTCCTGGTACCAAAGTCCAGAAATCAAAAGCCCCCTTTGAGCCAGTGGTGGTGCACATCTTTAATCCCAGCACTCGAGAGGCAGAGACAGGAGGATCTCTATGAGTTTGAGGCCAGCCTGGTCTACAGAGCTAGTTCCAGGATAAGCTCCAAAGCTACAAAGAAAGCCTGTCATGAAAAAAAAAAAAGAAAAAAAGAAAAGAAAAAAATGCCTCCTTTGGCTCACCTCATTAACATGGCCAATTAAAATTAAATACCTCATCCTAACACAGGGTTCCCTTTCCCTGTATAAACCACCACTTGCCTATGGGCCGTGTCTGTCTCCTCTCTATCCAGAGGCAGTCCTCTGTCCTTCCCCGTGTCCTCTTCCCCCTCACACCCTATCTCCTTTACCACCACATCCTAGCCCATTCTCACACAGACCTCCCTTAAAAATTACACGTTATGAGGTCATTTGCTGTTTTCTGCCTGAGTCAGAAAGCAGCCACTTTAACTTTTCTTCCTCTCTGTGCAAACAGGCGTTTGGGTGTGGTTTGTGCTTATCAGGGGTCAGGGAGGAAGCCCCCACTGTTTGGGGTTCCCCTTCAGGCACATCATGAGCAAAGTCCAGGTTTGGCATGCTCGAGAAACAACTCCACCGAATGCCAGCATTATGGCATTTAGCTCCAGGTAATTTTCTATAACACTCAGAAACGCTACAAAACTGCCAGATAAAACCAACAGATAAACAGCCAGTTGAGCCCAACTGGCCAAACTCCTGTGTCACGGAATAAAAAAGAGATTGTGGGTGTGGAGGAGCAGGGAGGGAATATGGTGAGACTGCACAGTAGGTTAAAGCATATGCTGCCAAGTTTGACGCTAGAATTTATCCTTGGAACCTGTGGTAGAAGGAAAGAACCAATTGTCTTCTGCGTTCCACATGTGCCTGACATGCATGCACTACCACCCCCCCCCCAAGTAAATAACGTAACTTTGTTTGTTTGCATGTAAAAATTCACACATGCATCCATCTAAGTGCTCGTGGAGGCCAGAAGAAGCGGTTGTGAGCCACTCAGTGCAGTGCTGAGAACAGAACTCCACCCCTCTGCGGAACAGCTTTCTTTAACTGCCGAACCATCTCCAGCAAGAAAAATTAAAAAAAAAAATCTGAGTATATGCCTGGATGTAGGTGAACAGCATGCATGCCTGTGCCCGTGGAGGTCAGAAGAGGACAGTCACCCCCAGAACTGGAGTTATAGATGGCTGTGAATTGCCACATAAGTGCTGGGAACTGAGCCCAAGTCTTCTTCAAGAGCAACATGAGCTCTTCGCCACTGAGCCACCTTCTCCAGTATCTCCCATTAAAATATATTTAACAGAAAGTACTTGTTGTTTAAGTCAGTATGCTAGACAGAAAAATGGTACTTCAAAAAATGCTTGTGTTCTAACCCTTTGACCTATCAATGTGACCTTAGAGCAAAGGGGTGAGAAAACAGATTTTCTCTTAGAGCTTCCGGAAGGAATGAAATCTTACCCACACTTGACTCTGACTCGATTAAACCCACTTCAAACCTATGACCGATAGAACTGAAAAATTTTGAGCTATTTATTTATTTATTTGAGACAGGGTCTCCTGGATCTTATGTAGACCAGGTTGATCTCAAACCCGCAAGAGATACACTAGCCTCTGCCTCCTGAGTACTGGGATTGGAAGGGGTACAACACAATACCCAGTTTAAGCCATCTAAATTTATAATTTGTTACAGTTTCAAAACTAATACAGATGCTCAGATCTGAAGTTGTGACAAACAGCAAAAAAGTCACCCAAACAGGAAGGCTTTCATAACACACTTCCCAAGGAGAAAAATGCTAAAATATCTTGTTTTATTAAATAAAAACTAATAAAGATATAAAATATCGTAAGTTCAAATCCTAGTCACTGGATAAATTCATGAATATTCCTTATTTCTTACTCTCAATTGATAGACATTCCTATTTGAACCAATGTGATATAAAACAATTTACTCTCCCTCAAATGCACACAATTAAAAGGCATAGATATTCATTACACTGCATATATAAAGCAGTAATTAATACAAATAGGGATTAAGCTATTTATTTGAATTCCTTTAAGAAAGCCTTAGAAGGAGCACAAGGCCTATCAAGTGTGGTGGCCACTCTTGTAGTCCCAGTATTCGCAAGGCTGAGGAGGGAGGAGGTAGAGAGATCAGGAGTGGGAAGCCAGCATGGGATACACAAAGCTAGTTCCAGCTAGCCTGGTGTTTAAGAAAGACTCCACCTAAAACAAAACAAAACATGAATAAAATTTGGGTTAAGGCGCAACTCTGCACTTAGATACCTCTTCTAACTTAAGGTTCATTGAAAGAAATGACAATCAAAATGCTGGGCAATTAAAATATTTTATGAGGGGGAGCCTAGGCAGTTTGGATGCTCACCTTACTAGACCTGGATAGAGGTGGGCGGTCCTTGGACTTCCCACAGGTCAGGGAACCCTGATTGCTCTTCGAGCAGATGAGGGAGGGGGACTTGATGGGGGGGAGGGGGAGGGAAATGGGAGGCGGTGGCAGGGAGGAGGCAGAAATCCTTAATAAATAAATAAATTAAAAAAAAATATACACAGTAAAAAAGAAAAAAAATAAAATATTTTATGAGCCCACGACCTTCATCCCCTAAAGAATTCTTCTTCAATCAACTCAAAAGTGATCAGACTGCTATACAAATTCATAACAGTTTGCTAATCTTTTGAGAAAGTCTATCACTCTGAGAAAACACCATCACCCTAACTATATCCACCATGGACATGCCCAGCATTCCATTCCCTCCAGTCAAGTACTTGAGTCGGCACAGCAATGGTTCACAACACAAGAATGTGGTTGGTTTTGCCATTCAAATACACACAAGTGCTCTACTGTTTGCAATGGAGTCAAAACTCACACATGATAGAGGAAAATTTTAAATACTCTAAAGAACAAAATAAGATTACTAAGTGCCAAAGGTATTTTATTCAAGAAATAATGTCCTCTAAATTACATAAATGTAAGTGCTCAGTATTTTAAGTAGACCTTTATATTGCATCATTTAAATATAAAATATTTTCCTTAAAAAAAAAAAATAGAGCTTCAGGAACCAGCCAGAGGAATAGGATGGAGGACGTAAAAAGGAAAGCAGTGGGAGAGAGGGATGAAGTAAAACAAAGTAAAACGACACATCCGTATGGAAATGCTGTAGTGAAACCCACGGCTTCAAATGCTATTACTGTTTCATCACACCTTCAGGAAGGTGTGGTAGAGTACACCTATAACCCTAGCACCCGGAGGATGGAAACAGGAGGATCAGGACTTCAAGATTACAGAAAGTTGGAGATCAATATGGGATGCACAGAGCCTATCTCAAATGGGGTGTGGGGGTGTAGCTCAGTCTTTACAAGGACTTGTGTTCAATCCTGACCAAAAGTAAAACTTCTGGTATGTTAATTCAACAAGATGCTTTTAAGTATGTTTGATGTTGGAGAAAACATGTCTGAATGGGAGAAAACAGCCCATTTAGAATGCACACATTCTGGAAGGAAACACATTTAACAGATAGTTGCAAGTGATATTTGTGATTTGGCAATGAAGCTCCAGAGATGAACTTGCAAACTGGAAACTAAATGTGAGTTTATACAGCAGAAAAGGCTGGTAAAGTGAGAACCGCCGACATCAGGGCAGCAGAGAGCACAGGCCAGAGGGAAAGAGTGTTGTCCAGGACTGTAGCATGTGAAACAGGAGTTAGTAAGAGAATGAGGCAATGGGTTTATTTCTTTTCTGTTTCATGACAGCATTGGTAAGGAATCACTCTGGGCGAAGTTTTTTAAAAATAATTCCTAATAACTTTCTGTGTTGCATGGTTTTGAGTAAGACACTTGTTTAAAAAGTCATTTATATTGACATTAGTCCTTTTTTAGACAAAAAAAAAAAAAAACCAAAACCCTATCAGAAATTCATTTCACAGTGCATAAATGTTATGAACGCTATCACTGAGCACCTCGAAGCTGGAGCTCACTACGGGGCCCTCATTACCAATTAAGGTAAAGCTGTCAGAGCTGTGATTCCAGTAGCAACGGACCTCGCTTTTCAGAATATAAACTACAAGTTAAGGCATGCACACTTTCCAAACACGTTCTAAAATGCCCCAGACTGGAAGATTCTCTTTATCTGAGTTTTGTACGAGCTTCCAAAGGGCATTTTTAAGTAAAAGTACAAATTTCAACCAAACTTCTGAAGTGTGTTGATCCTGTCGATTATTAAAAACATACAGCATTGTTCAAAGTAATTTTATTCTTTTTTTAAATATTTATTTATTTATTATGTATACAATATTCTGTCTGCATGTATGCCTGCAGGCCAGAAGAAGGCACCAGACCTCATTACAGATGGTTGTGAGCCACCATGTGGTTGCCGGGAATTGAACTCAGGACTTTTGGAAGAGCAGGCAATGCTCTTAATCACTGAGCCATCTCTCTAGCCCCTATTTTATTCTTTTAGTAATATGGAATATCATTTTTAATGGTAATATAATCTAGAATTCTGGTAATTTTTACTGACATGCAAGTTTTAAGAATAAATGCTTTCAATAAAAAATTCAAACTCATAGGCAAACGAATATATATTTTGGGACAAAGTTTCTGTGTACGTAGCCATGGCTGTCCTGGAACTTGCTCTGTAGATCAGGCTGGCTTGAACTCAGCGATCTGCCTGCCACTGTCCAGCTGACATAAGTCAATCTTTCAGAGATTCACTGTAAATGACAAGTATTTGGTGAACAGTCATCCCTATTCTCTAAAGCTGCCACAATGTCCTGGATGTTTCCACGAGAATTTTCTGCAGTTCATTTATTTTTATGTGTAAGGGTCTTTAGCCTTCACGTGCTCCTGGGTACCACATGTGTATGGATCTGGCGCCTGTGGAGGCTAGAAGGAGACACTGGATCTCCTGAGACCAGAGTCACAGACTGCTGTGAGAGGAGAATGGGTGCTGGGACTTGAACCTGAGTCCTCTGGAAGAGCAGTCAGTGTTTCCAACAGCTTAGCCATCTCTCCAACCCTCTTCTGGGTTAAAGTTAACAAAGTGTTGTTTCCCTCAAAATAACGGAGAACTTCAAACATGGGGAAAACACAACGGTCGTGTTGAAACCTTTAATTGTTGAAACTCAATATCTTAGGCTTAGCTTGTGAATTTAACTATTAGGTACACTACCCAAATTAAATTATTACTATCTTCTATGACATTTTCCAATGTAGTAAAGAAACACCGTACGCCCACTTTGCAAAACTCACAACATAGTCTTGAAATTTGCAAATCAGCTTAAAGAAAGAAAAGAAAAAGAGGAACTGTTCTGGAATAAAAGAGTGGGCAAATAGCAACGGGAAATTCCTTAATGTCAGAGCACAGCTGCAACACGAAGCTAAAACTAGAGATAAAGAATAGGGTTAACAACGTACGAGACCCTATTCCCAAGGGAGAGAAGAGGAAGACACTGTTGGAATGATGTGCTACATAAACACTGGACAGTACAGTAGCCTTCCATCACAGGCTAATAATTCCGGTTCACACAATAAACACTGTTCCCTTTTAATCAGTGTTAATCCTGCGCATGAGACGTCTAAAGTTAGCAGAGCAGAGACGTCCGAAGGAACTCGCGGCTAGAGCACCTGGTCGCTGGGACTTGGCTGATTTCATCACGGGATTCTTTAAGTGCACAGCTCCTCAGGGCCGGTGAAGCCCTTTATCACCTCCCATCGGATTCCCAGCACACAGTACGAGTCACCGGGCAGACTCCACCCTGCCAACTATTCCAGCTTTCCGGCAGGACCGGTCCCAGCCCACCGCAAGCCGCTCTCTCCCGGGAGAAGGCGGGACGGAGAAAGGAGGGAAGTGCGCTCTCTGTCACCGGGAACCGGAGGGCCGGGGCACGCCAGAGCGCCCGGCGCTCGCACTTGGGAGGTGGAGGAAGGAGTTCGCGGCCAGGGCGGGGTTTTTGAGGCCCTGTCTTCCCTGCCTTACCCCAGAGTCTAAAGCCGCCGTCTCCTCCGCGGCAGCCGGAGCCGCAGGCGGCGCCGCAAAGCCTGGCAGGCGGCCTGCGACCCCGCGGCTTCCGCCCGGCTGCACGCCCGCGGAGCGCACGCGCCGGGCGGCCCGCCGGTGGGCCGCACGCTGACAGGCAGCGCGGGCGGGGGTCCGCGGGGGTCATGGTTCACAGCACCCGCAGAGTCTCTCACCTCTGTAAACGGGTCCATCGCCCCAGGCCTCACGAGTGGCAGACGAGACGGTGGGTCCGGTGGTTCAAATTCAGGAGGAGGAAAGAAGTGAGTGCGGGCTCGGCGCAGCTCCGGAGGAAGGCAGGAGGCCGGGCGGCGGGCTCTTCCACACCCAGTCGGCTCTGCCCACAGTGCCGGTTCTGTCGCTGACCACGGCCGTTCAAATTTGAATTTCAGCGCCCCGGACGGCGCGCATGCGCGGGAGCCGGGCGGGGCCGGACGGGCTGAGCCGCGTTTGTCCCCGCCCCGGAGCCTGGTCACGTGACACGGCTGCTCTTGCCTGTCCCGAGCTGCTGACCTCGCTGGTCGTCGTGGGTGGGGTCGCTCCTGCCGTTGAACTGCCTAGGGAGAGCGCCTGCCGTCCCGCTCGCACCCACGCATGCCCTAGCAGGTCCTTTCGTGGTTCCGTCAGCTCCCTCCGCCCTGCCTTCTTCCTCGGTGGGCCTTTACGAATCCGGCCTGGGTCTTCTTGGCCCTTGGGCTTGATGTCATCTGTCTCCTGCCACCAGAAGAGGCATTGGGCTGCAAGCTTGACACTCCTGAGAGGCCACTCTGGTGGGTCCCCACACTCGCATTCAGTGACTAGTTCTTTGTCCTTGGGAAAAATAACAGTAATAGACCGTGCGACAAGTTCATTCACAGGCCCCTCGGTTTCAAATCCCACCCACCTGTACCCAAAGGTCAGCACTGAGAACACTAGGGAAGCCTCCTAGTTCAATCGTCCACATTTGAGAGCAGGGACAATTGAAAGGCCCGTTTTTAATAAAAGTTCCCGTTTACCAGCCAGTAAGCAGGACAGAAATTACTTCCCCAATATCTCTTTATCTGAGTTTCTTTTTCCTCTTCCTGGGAGGGGAGTTTGTAGATGCTCAGACCCAGGCTGTCCAAGAAGCAGTGTGTCTAACAAAACAGGGCTGTCAAAGCTCCAGTTGTAGAACTGTTTGCCTTACCCAAAACGGTTGAGAAAGCACCCAAATCTACATGCTCTGTGTGCCCAGGTTGGTTTGTGAGACCTAAAGTTCTGAGGAGTGTGTAAGAGAAAAATACATGAGCAAGGCTTCTGGTGAGTTTGTGTATACTAACTCGGCCCATGACAGGATGGAGGATGTTTTCCTTATTGAGCAGAAAACTCGACGGCAACGTGTCGAAGGGTCACGTCCCGAGTCAGAGAGCTAAATAAAAATAGGAAGCTTGGGACTGGCAACAAGGCTCATGCTATGAAGGCCCTGGCTGCCAAGCCTTGGAACCTGAATTCTAGGCCAAAATCAGGTCCAGCAAATTGTCCTGTGACCTGCACACCCAAAGTAAATAAATGCATGTAAAAACAAAAATAATCTATAGATCGTCATAAACTGAATTCTGGACATGGAATAAAAGAATACAGCTTTTAAGAATAGAGCTTTGTCGGAGGTGGTGGCGCACACCTTTATTTTTAGCACTCAGGAGGCAGAGACGGGTGGATCTCTGTGAGTTTGAGGCCAGCCTGGTCTACAAGAGCTACTTCCAGGACAGGCTCCAAAGCTACAGAGAAACCCTGTCTCGAAAAACCAATAATAATAATAATAACACAGCTTCCATGCTGGGACCACAATATAACAGGAATAATAAACTTCCCCAGTTCCTTGGAGCTGTGGGATGATAAAAGTGTGTCATGTATGGGATTGCTAGAATATAAGTCAAATGTGCTACTTATGAACCAAAGGGAAACGAAGCCTGAATCTTTTTTAAGATTCAGTAAAGGGGTGTGTGTATGTGGGGTGTGGTTGTGTATGTCAGTCTTGGGAATGAGTCATGGGAAATTTATGTAGCCGTTGTGCCTTGTGGCTGTTGCTCTGGGATCCTTGGTTTCATTATAAACAACAATTTGATTCTAGCCAGCTTGCGCAAAGCAATAGACCTGCTCTAAACTTGTAGTCTCTCTCTCCGTACAAGCCCTGAAGCATTGGCCATTGACTATGTCTTAGTTGTAGTAACAGTAGGGACAGTAGCTCCCACAGTCCCATAGCTCCCATGTCGGAAGCGCCTGGTATGACCAGACACCATGCTTCAGATTCAAGGCTGCTCCCCTAGACGGCCACGGTTGTCTCCCACGGCAGTTCATTCTTTTGTTTATTACCTGGAATAACTTTTCTCATTAAAAAAATCTTTGCTAGCTGTGGTGGTAATGCATACAGTCTCAGCACTTGGGAGGAGGGAGAAGAATCAGGAGTTCAAGACCAACCTCTGCCTAAGAAAAAGAAGGAAAGAAAAAAAATACACATACATACATGTTCATTTAAAATGATAACCAAGGACTGGAGGGATGGCTCTGCAATCGAGAGCATTGCGGTTTTTCCAAAGGACCCACCTTCAATTCCCAGCAGTCACACAGTGTCTCATAACCATTCATAACGCCAATCCCTGGTGTCCAGTTCCCCCTTTAGCATCTGTGGACACCAGGTACACACATGATTCACAGAACTACATGCAGGCAGACCACCCATACATAAAATGTATGTCTTTTATAAAGACAAAGCAGAGATGATGAGCTCGAGAAAATGAGTATTTCCTCTTTGGAAGATCTGTTCTTTCAAACAAGTAATTATGTCTCTTGTAGATAAAAGTAATGGGGAGCTTAAAGACCCCACAAAAATGTGGTAGCATTAACCTCATCAAGAACTCCAAATACATCCATTTCCAGTTAATTTTTCAAAATTCACATACAGTCCCACAATTGACAAAGTAATACAATAACATAGATATTTGTATTTTTACAGAGGGAAAAAAGGCCGAGACCTGAGCAGAAGGCAGTGACGAGAAGGATCAGACAAAAGTTCTCCGCCTCAGGTTACCTGGCTGATGGCCACTTGTTTATACATGTATTGTAGCGAAGAAATGAGAACTACCAAAAGTTAATATCAAGTGAAGCATGGGGACAAAAGGCTGAGGCAGAATGACTTCCATGCAGGGCTAGCCTTTGCTACATAGTGAGCTTCAAACCAGCTTGGGCTACCTAGTAAGACCTTGTTTTAAAAACAAACAGTAATTTTATACACAGGTGGGCATGGTGGTGCATGCTTATAATCCTAGCCACTTCAGACTGACTAAGGTGAGAGGGTTACAAATTTGGAGCCAGACTGGGTCATTTAGTGAGATTCTGTCTTAAAGTAACTAAAAATGGGTTTGGATGTGACTCAGTGATAGAGTGTTTGTATAGCATGTAGGAGGGGCCCTGTGTACAATCTCTATTATTGGGTGTGGTAGGGGAATATTATCAAAAATGAACTGTGTTATTAATTGCTTTTAGCATTGTGTAATCTTTTCCCTTTCCTAGTTTAGTCAATGAAAATGTTTCAGTTTGTTTGAATTTGGGGATTTTTTTTTTTTTTTGGAGAAAGGGTTGCTGTTGGCAGAATCTGCTTGTTGATTCCCGGCTACCTAGACCTGAAATAATCACTCAGAAACTATATTATTTGCAATACTGTTTGGCCAATAGCTTAAGCATATTTTAGCTAGCTCTTATATCTTAAATTAGCCCATTCTATTATTTTATATTTTACTATGAGGCAAGGATCCAAATACCAGCTTGCGTCTTTCTCCTCTGGTGGCTACCTGGCCTCTCACTGACTCTGCCTACTTTTTCCCAGCATTCAATTTAGTTTTCCTGCCTAGCTCTATTCTGCCCTATCACAAGCCAAAGCAGCTTCTTTACTCATTAACCGATAAAAGCAACACATATACAGAAGGACTCCCCACACTAGGTTACCTATATCCCAGAATAGCCTCAAACTGAAGATGATCCTATCTTTCTGCCTCCACCTTCCAAAGACGGAGACTATGTATATAATACAGGTGTGCCACTGTACCAATCTTATAATTTATGTATTAATATATGTGTGTGTATATGACTTTTCCATACCCACATTTATTTCATAAGGCTATTTTCATAAAACTTACTTTGTAGTTGTGTTTGGTTTTGGTGCTTTGAGGCAGTCTCACTGTGACCTCCTTCTCACAGAGCTCTGTCTGCCTCTGCCTCCTGCTGTGATTGGAACTCAGCATCAGCACTCCTGGCTCAATACCCACATTCTCCGAGTGCCAAGGACATATTTCCCTTAGATTTTAGTCAAAGAAATGCATCAAGTTTTTTGTTAGAATTCATCTCTCCTCTCACTAAACTTCCAAAGCAGGGACCATTTAGTCCTTTTCACTTTCTGCTCCCCTACCTTCAAGAGTCTGACATCATCCAGTTGTGTTAGTTCATCTTCTGCCACGACAAAACTTCATAACTTAGCTCTTTCTGTTTATTTTTTGAGACAGGGCTTGTATATTCTTCTGGCTGTCCTAGGGTTTTTATAGATCATAGAGATCCTCCTTACCTCTGCCTCCCAAATGCTAGAACTAAAGGCATGTACCAACCAGGCAGTAGTGGCACACACCTTTAATTCCAGCACTCAGGAGGCAGAGGCAGGTGGATCTCTGTGAGTTCAAGGCCAACCTGGTCTACAAGAGCTAGTTCCAGGACAGGCTCCAAAGCTATAGAGAAACCCTGTCTCGAAAAACCAAAAATAAAAAAATAAAAATAAATAAAGGCATGGACTACACCATGCCTGACCAACATTTAGTAATTTTTTAAAGTTTATTTCTTATTTTGCAGACTGAGCAGTCTAAGACACAGGCTTCACAATTAAAAAGGTCTTCTTACAAAGCAGACCAGAAAGGCAAATGAGAACATACAAGACATGGCATTGAACTGGGACTAGAGAGATAGCTCAATCCTTAAGAGCATGTGCTCTCTAGTCCCAGATCAATACCAAAATTGTACTCTAGCTTTCACAAGCATGCCCTAGCATCCATGTGCCTATTCATTATACAGACATACAAGGATAGCAATTTAACTACATCGTTTCCTCATTCCCTTTCCTCCCTCCAACCTCCACATACACATACCTCTTGCTCTCTTTCAAATTTATGACCTCTTTTTTCTTAATTGTTACTACATACCTATTTGTGCATATGTGTGTATATATACTTATAAATACAACCTGGTTAATCTACATAATGTTACTTGTAAAACATATATATATATGTGTGTTTTCAAGGCTAACCATTTGGTGTT